AAAGGCTAACAATTCGATCAAATAGAGCCTGGTTATGTAACAGCATTTGGTACAGAACCAGACAACCAATAAACATCCCTTGATTATTAAATGTAGCCCTGTAGCACTGTACTCCCGTTGTTCATCGATTTGCTCGAGCGGGCCCAGTAATGTCTCCACTGTGAGACTTGTTGTTACTGTGTTTGGCATATCGAATACGCCACGGGCAGCTTGCCAGGCTTTGCCATGCGGGCAAGATATTCTCGGTAGCTTGCCAGACTCTCCAAGAGGGGCAGAGGAATCGAACTTGGGTCAGACATGTTGGCTGCGTGCAAGGCAAACGCCACTGCCCACTGTGCTATCGCTCCAGCCCGATTATTAAATGAATAAACCATAGCCAAGTAAGTGTGGTATTTACCATGGTCAATATAAAGACCACAACCAGGACAAGGAAGGTATGGAATGCCATTGTGACACTTAGACTGCAAAACTGAAGCCAAAAAGGGACCGTTTTCTCTTAGCCTTTAGGATGATGGCAGCAAAATGGGTGCAGATGTCTGCAGAAGACAGTTTGAGTGACTCCCTAGAGACTAACTCAGGTCTTGAAGGGGGAGGAATAAGGGTAGGAACCAAGAAAGCCACTAGACACAAGCTCATCTCCTTCCCTTCCCTTTTTTTTTGTGGGGTGGGATGTGGGGTGGCAAACCATACTCGATGGTGTCTGGGATTGTTCCCAGGGTCCTAAGGAGATCGTGGAGTACCAGAGACTGAGCCTGGGCCTCTTGCATGCAAAGTATGTGTTCACCACTTGAGCTCTCCCCCCAGTCCATAGTTGTTATTGTTGTTTGGCGGGGGGTCACACACAGCTATGCTCAGGAATAGACCCCAGTCAATGCTCAGGGATCAGAACCGAGGTCAGCTGCATGCAGGCAAGAGCCAGAGAACCTATACTATTCCTCTGGCCCCCTCCCTACTACTCTTGTACGAGCACGCCTCAGAGACACTGCGGGTTCAGTTCCGTACCACTTCACTACAGGGATTAGTACAGTGAAATGAGTCACATCAACCTTCTTGGATTCCCAAAGCACACAAAAGTTTTTACACAAATCGAGTCTAGTAAGTATGCAAGATCTTTATATGTAAAACACAACAATGTAAACACCTTAATTTTTAAATATTTTATATAAAAATATGCATAACGATTACTATTCTGTGGAATCATCTTCAAGTGGCTTCCAATAGTAATAATAAATTTAATAATAAAGTTTAGGGGCCAGAGTGATAGTACAGCGGGTAGGGCACTTGCCTTGCATGTAACCGACCTGGGTTCGATCCCTGGCACCCCATATGTTTCCCTGAGCCTGCCAGGAGTTATTCCTAAGTGCAGAGCCAGGAGTAAGCCCTGAGAAAATTTGGATGTGTCCCTCCCCCCCAAAAAAAGAATAAAGTTTAAACTGTAAACTTGTAAAAACAAATAAATAAAAGATTTTATTACTGAAAAAATATTTACCATAAAAAAAATATGCTCACCATTATCTGAGATATTGGAAGAATAGGGCCAATTAACTTGGTCAACAAAAAATGGAGTTCACAGACTTACTCATTATAGGGTGCCAGAGCTGTTCAATTTCCACAGAGTGCGTGCCTGGGGCATGCATGGTGGTGAGGCACAGTGGAAGGGCTGCTCCATTGATCCCTGACCCTGCTTGCTTTCCTGAACCTGACCTGAGAGAACCTGTCCAGAAAGGAAACGGTGTGTGTTCTAACATTTTCAGAGTGCAAGCTCTAGTCAGATTGTGCAAAGGAAAGATGGTTTGAGTCAGCTTCTAGACATGGGATTTGAAAATGACCTTTCACTGAATTTCCCGCGAATAAAACCACCAGCTTCCTGGAAATTGTCTGGATTCACCACAGTCTGCCACTTTCAGTTAATGAGGAAGCACTGCCAAGAAGGCAAGCTAAAGATATGCTCGGACTTCACAGGGCAATCGAATGCCGAATCCCCATTCTTAATTTTCTCCCATCTTTATGCCAACAGAATGGTTGATTCAGAAAAGGAAACTAACTTGCTTTTTATGTTGTTCCCAAAACTAAATAGTTTTTTTTTGGGAGTATAAATGGAACAGGAGGGTTTTGGGGTTTGTGTTTTGTTTTGGTGGGTTTTTTTGGGGGGTTTTGTTTTTGTTTTGCAGTACCAGGGATCAAACCCTGGGTCCCACACCTGCCAGACAATTGTTCCACCGCTGAAGTGCATCTCCTGTCCAGATGTGAAAATGAAGCTGATAACTGAAGTCAATCGCTTAAATTAGTATCAGCATCAGGATTCTAATTCAGGGTTCTGGAGAGATAATACAGGGATTAAGGTATTTGCCTTGTATGTGGCTGACTCCAATATGGGTCTGGGTACTGCATATCCCAGGGTTCTCTGAATACCCCCAGGAGTGATCCCTGAGCACAGGGCCAGAAATAAACCCTGAGTACTGCCAGAAGTGAGTTAAAAACCAACAAAACAGAAGCAAAATATCGAAATTCAAATTCAGGGCCTACTCCAGGAGTCATTTTCTTTCTACCACTTCCTTGCTCCCCTAAAGAGAACCTCAGGAAGGAAAGGACAGAATAAAGATATGACATTTGATTGGGAAGACATAAAGGCCCAACAGGGGAGCAAGAGATGGCTCAGTGGCCACGGCCTTGCAAGTGTGAGGTCACAGGTTCAGTTCCCAGGGCCCCTCTATGCACCACACACAGGTCCAGCCCCCTCAGCTCTCTGCCTCCAGTGCTCCAAGCATTGCTGGGCACACTGTCCCTGTGTGCATGTGACCTCCAAAACTGGAGACTGCTACCTCCGGGAAGCCGTATGCCAGAACGTGCCTGAGCACTGCAACAAGAAGGGTGTGATCCCCCACTTCAAGCCCACAGTTGAGAGAGTAAGCACCCTAACCAAGTGTGTGTGGCCCTCCAGCAATTCACCACCACAGAGGGAAAGGAACAGGGATTTTTTTCAAACTCAGTGGAAGCGGTTAGAGAGATGGTGAAGAGATGCAAAGATTGTTACTTTGCTAAGGCTGGTAGTGCAGTGCTAGCTATGCTGATATATAAGGTAACCTGATTGAACTGGGAAGAATACTCCCAAGTTAAATAAAACAGGGGTGCGCGCATGCACACACACTGAGAAGCTGCAGAAGGAACACAACCAGCACAGTATTTAATAAAAAGAAATCTGTTGAATCTCGATGTTAGAATGAACCTCAAACTGGGAAAGTAATTCAGGTTCAATAAAACAGGGCCCTTTCAAACACACACAGCGTTAGCATTAACCTGATCGATCTGAGAAGAAAACTCCAAGTTCAATAAAATAGCCCTTCCCAACCACACAGGAGCTGTAGTAAGCACACTCAGCACAGGATATTGAATCTTCGGGTCAGGGCTAGAAGATGAGGCTGACACAGACTGGACCAATAAAGACCAGAAGGCTTGGTTTCTGTAACTAAGACATGCAGTGAATGTACTCATAAAACATTGGTTCAGGGACTGGTTGAGTGAAGTCAGAAACAAGCGCTGGTATTTGTAAGGATAACCGCTAGGATTTACTACCCTCTGTGTGCAAGGCAGAATTAATGCTTTAAAAGAAAACACCAACTCCTTAGATTTCTGCTGCCAATTCCCTAGCTACAGATCCCATTGAGTATTAAATCACTCCATCAAGATCATCAAGCTGGAATCTAGCTTTTCTGGATGCATTATCTAAATGGACACTGGTTTGAGAAAAACACGGCCCAAGCTAGAATGCGGTGGAGACATTAGGGCGCAATGCCCTTGCCCGTGAGTCGTGAGTGTCCCAGTGGTTGCTTTAGAATCCTCCTGCGTGACAGGCTGGTCAGTCACACAGCAGTTGATTGCTTTTGTCCCAAACTCCGCTTTTTTCTTTTCCCTGGGAGAATGATTTGAATATTGATTTTTTTTTTTAAAAGAGCAAGCTTAGAGATGGTCTGCGCTAATTATATCATCAACTCTCCATCCTCTCATGACAGGACATCCGGTATAAAACCGCTTTGATGAGAAGGGTTGTGGGTGACAGTCTGATTAGGAGAAAAATCAAATCCCTACTTAAAAATAAATAAAGCAATGGTGCCCAAGCTCTGACTGGGTTTAAAATACAGCCCAGTGCAAGCTTTGTTCTTCTTTCAAGCCAAAGCCCCAGATTTCGTGCAATTTCCCTTTGAGCACCCGAAGCGAGAAGTCCACTTGAGCCAAGCCAACCGCTGTTGCAGAGAGCCCTGCAACAACGACAAAAAAAGAGCGAGAAGGGGCTGGAGCAATAGTACAGCGGGTAGGGCGTTTGCCTTGCACCGGACTGGCATGGGTTCGATTCCCCAGCATCTCAGATGGTCCCCGAGCATCGCCAAGGGTAATTCCTGAGTGCAAAGCCAGGAGTGTGCATAGCCGGGGTGTGACCAAAAACCCAAAAAAAAAAAAAAAAAGAGCGAGGAGGCGCGGGCACACGCGAGGGCCTGAGTCAGCCGCGCGCGCCCCTCCGTCGGCGAGAGGCGATCTCCCTCCCTCCCACGGTCCTCGGGAAGCCCCGGTGCCGCAGGCTTCCTCGCAGTCGCACGGCCGCCGGGGCGTACTTCCTGCCCCGCTTCCTCCGGCCGCGGCGACCGCACGAGCCTTCCGGCCCGGCCGCGGCTCCGCCTCCGGGTTTTGGAAAGCGCGCGCCGCGAGGAAGCCCGGGGACGGCGGGGGCGGCGGGGGCGGGTGGCCGCGCGCACGCGCGCCTGGAGCCCCGCCCCCGCCCCTCCAGAGGCCCCGCCCCCGAGGCGCGCCCGGCGCGGCCTTGGAGCCCCGCCCCGCAGAGGCCCCGCCCCGTCTAGGCCCCGCCCCCGAGGCGCGCCCGGCCCGGCCGGCCGGCCCGGCTCCCCGCGGCCGACCCGTCTCGGCTGGGCGGCGAGCGGAGCTTCCTCCTGTCACCGCCCGCCCGCGCCTTCCGCCCGCGTCTCGGCGGGGCTCCGGGCGAGCGAGCGGAAGGCTGCGCCGAGCAGGCCCGCGATGCGCTCGTCGTCGGCGGCCGCGGCGGCCCCGGCCGGCTCGCTGTGGGGGGAGTCGCTGCAGGCCCCGCCGCCCCCGGCCGCGCAGCCGCCGCCGACGCTCAACCGCCTTCCCGAGCCGCTGCTGCGGCGCCTCAGCGAGGGCTTGGACCGCGCGCCCGAGGGCCGCGGCTGGAGGCGCCTGGCCGAGCTGGCGGGCAGTCGGGGGCGCGTCCGCCTCAGGTGAGTGAGGCCCCGGTGAGGTGAGGTGAGGTGGGGGGGGAGCGGGAAGACAGCTGGAGGGCGACGTCGAGGGTGGGGGGGGACGCTGAGGGGTCTGGATGCGGGGACCCCCCCCCCCCGACCTGACCTGACCCGATCGTCAGGGAGGCTTGTGAGGGGTCGGGGGCGCTGGGCTGAGGGAACTGACGTGCCGCTCGCACCGTTCATCTCCTGTCAGACGAAGGAAGACAGAACCGTGGTTTTTTGTTTGTTTGTTTGTTTGTTTGTTTGTTCTCTTGTCTTCAGAAATCATTGAGGATCCCGCAGGGTTTTTTGCTTTTTATGTTGTTTGTTTGTTTGTTTGTTTGTTTAACGTGGGTTCTGCATCGCGTGCACTGTACGTGCTCCTGTTTACCACGTTAGAAATTCAAACTAGGAAATGTCCTGAGAACTTCCAAAGCGGAGCGCCAGAATGTGGTAAAAGAACCTGCTTTTGCCGATGGAGGGGGGAGAAAAATCTCCAGAACAAGCCCCCAAAATGAGTTCGATGGACGGCATTGTTTTGTGTGTGTGTGTGTTTTGAAAACCCCTGTGGTGGCTTGGGCTTAGCTGCAGAGCTGGCTTCTCTTCTACTTCTGCATTTGCTCTGTGCCTTGACCCTGAAAAGCGCAGCTGCTCTTTCCCTGTGGAGAGAATGAATGAAGAAGAGAACATCTCAGTCTGCCCTTGGACCTGCTGAATCCCTACCCTGGGATTCCTCACTGCACTTTGCCCCCACCCTCCCCACCCCCTCCCCGTACTTCTGGTTTGCCCTTCAATGCCTTAGTAGATTTTTAACTCCTCATACTCCTCAACTTTTGCCTCCTGCCATCGTTGTTTGTGTATCACCTTGTGAACTCCTCAAAAATAGGAACCAGGGGGCTGGAGCAATAGCACAGCGGGTAGGGCGTTTGCCTTGCACGCTGCCAACCTGAGTTCAATTCCCAGCATCCCACATGGTCCCCTGAGCACCGCCAGGGGTAATTCCTGAGTGCAGAGCCAGGAGTAACCCCTGTGCATCGCCGGAGGTGACTCAAAAAAGAAAAAAAAAAATTAGGAACCATCTCTTACTAGTTTTCTGCTTCGGAGAGGAGTCATTTCATTGATTCTAAGCTGTTTCCTTTGAGTGCCTATGATTTGCTGGAAGTTCCAGAAGATAAAAAGCATGACCCATGGTTAGGGTTTATCGAGCGATGGGTTGTCATTCTGAGACATTCATAGGTAATATGTTAAATGCTATGTTGAGTGTTAATATTTTTATTTTTTTTAATCCTTAATTGAGCGCTCAGTATAGTCCAGACAGCGACAGTCTATCTTTCAACCCTCACAGCAGCCGGGAGGTTCAGAGTTTGGGGTTTCTTTAGAGGAATGCTGATTTGCAAGCATTTGCAAGCATCTGGCCCTTGCAGGGAGGAGAGCACAGAATAAAAATGTTGTGAACATGAAGGCAAGTAATAGGGTCATGATTTTTTCCTGTGCTAGGAATAAAAAGCAAAACATAATATTGGGGGGGGGGGGTTTCCGAGTAGTGCTCAGGTAGCTGGGAACCCTGCTGGTGTCGCTCAATCAGAGTTTGGATGCAAGGACCTGAGGATGTGCTGCTGCTCAGGCCCTGCGGTGGGAGTGATACCAGGGCCACACCCAGCGGTGCTGTGGGACCGGGTGCTGGTGAGTTCAGAATGGGGTCCTGAAGCCTAGAGCGTTGAGGAGCTCCCAGTCCCCCGGCCTGCTGAAAGGGAAAAGGTTCACCCTGGGAATGTGTGAGATGAGGGAAATGACCAAGGGCAGGGAGCACTGGTGACATTCAGGGGAGGACCCAGGACAGGTAAAGGAGCGTCACACTGATGGCCGAGGGACAGCTAGGAGAAGTGGAAGGGCCTAAGGACAGAGTCTTTGGTGTGCAGGAACGGGGGTGCGAGTTCAGTTCCCCTGGTAGTGTTCTTATAGAGTTGCTCTCCGTGAAGTCCCAGCTCGAGCATCGCCCCACATGGCCTGTCCTGTTTGACTGTGTCTTTCCGGCTACACACCTTCGCTTGAACTGGATGGAATTGAATAGACCTGGCCCTCCAGGATTAGGGACAGCTAGAAATGTTTTCACTGGGGTACTGATGAGTCCTAACCATTCCTGGCCTGGAGTTTGGTGTCCCCCAACCATGGGCCTATGGGCATGCTCTGGATAAACACAGCCCTAATCCCGCTCGCCCCAGCCCCATTCCCAACACTGTGTGAATGCAGTGCAAGTCCTGCCCAAGTGACTCTGTCCTGTGGAGAGCCTGGTCCCGCAGATGGCAGAAAGTGGGGGTTACTTTGAGACAGACCCACAGCACATAAACCTCGGAAAAGTGGCTTGCTGCCGTCCCGAGAGCCAGTAGGTGCTCCTTGAACATTGATGGCAGAAATCCAGAATGTTAGTGACAGCAAGGGAACACGAAGAAACCCAAGCCACAGTCTTCCTCCACTCAGCATATCCTCCCACCACTGGGCATGGGGGGGGGGGGGGGCCTTCAGGCTGGCCTGGCTTCTCTTTACCCTGCTGGCCCTTCCTGCCTTTATCCTCCCAGGCCTTCACCTCTGCTTCCACTGAGTACTCTCCAACCTTCAGCCTGTGTCGCAGCTTTGACCCATGGTCTGCCTTGAGATGGCTCTTGGCACCATCTTCCTTCCCGAGGTCCAACATGGTAGATTGCAACTTGCACACACTGTCCTGGAAACCAGCCTCTCCAGCAGTTTCCTCACCTGGGCAGGGGGCTGCTCTCCCTCTGACTGCCCCCCCCACACACACACACACCCTTAGTGCTCAGGCACACCTCTTAGTCATCCCCAAGTCTGCTCAGACACACCCTACTTGAGTGTTATCTGCAGATCCTGCCAGCCCTGCCTTCCCTGTATATCTGGGAGGTCTGAATCCAACCTCCGGTGCTGCCATGCCAGCCACTCTCTCTCACTCGGGGTTCCCCAATAGTCCCCTAAATCTCCTCCTCCAGCTCACCAGAGCCCCTGTCTGTTCTCAGTCACTGTGAAAGTGACTCTTCTCAAATGGGAAATCATGCCCAGTCCTGAGACCCTCTTGTCCCCTCCCTCACACTACTCTGCTCACATGGTCCTCACTGGTTTGTCCTGAATACCCTTGGGTTTGTGCTGAGCATACTCGGGTCTGTCCTGAGCATTTGGGTCTGTCCTGAGCACACTGGGGTCTGTCCTAGGTTGTCTTGAACACTTCGGTCTGTCCTCAACATATTCAGGTCTGTACCTTTCGTTTTCTTGGCAGAGACCGACAACAACCACACACCTGACTTGCTCCTCTTCCTCTTCAAGTTTGGGCTTACTTTTGGTGATTAATCAGTGCTTGTTAACAGTGATTCCAAAGAGTCAGTGTAGCCAAAGGAGAAGCAAAAGAAACCTTTTGGTAGGGATTTGGGCAAAAGGACCCGGTGCTTGGGGAACCACATGCAGGTAGGAAGCCAGCTTTCTGCAAGACAGGCATCGTAACCATCCTACTCTTTCCCGTCCAGTAGAATAAAATCTTTATTTTAGTTTAGTTTCTATTCTTGAAAATGTGCTTTAAAAAAAAAAGATATTAGATAGATTTAGGGGGAAGGCACACCTGAAGAGGCTTAGTGCTTACTTCTGGCTCTGCCCTCAGGGATCTGTCCTGGTGGTACTTGGGGGAACCAAAGGGGGACTGGAGGTTAGGAAGGGAACCTGCTGCCTACCTGCTGTTCCCTTGTTCTGGCCCCAAACTTAGGTACATTTTAGAAAAACAAAGTTTTTTTTTTCTCATCTTTTTACTAAAATCAGATTCCAAATTCCTCTGCTGGAAACCACTTCAGAACACTCTTACAGGAAAAGTAACTAAAAAAGGAAAGAAAAAACCTGTGGGCCCAAGCCACCCCCAAGAGGCGTAAGTGAGAAGAAAGGTTTCTTTCCTCCTTTCCACCTTTCTTGGGGGCCTCTGTATTGGAAGTTGCAGTCTTTCCACCAGTTACATAGGTTTTCTCTTTCTGACATAAGTATCAACACTAGTTAAAGCCCTTGTAAATGTTCACAGGATGACTTATTTCTAGATATTAGATCCCTGTAACCATTCTGCATCATGAAAAGTATATTTTGCATAGAACTTGTTCTGATTATTTGCAAACCAGTTCATCTTTTGTTTGTTTGTTCTATCTGTTTGTCTTTAATAATGATTTCTATCTGTTTGTCTTTAATAATCATTTCCTTGTTGTGAGCATCACAGAGTCTGGGAAAGGAAAATCTCAAAGAGAGAACCATTAGGCACCATCAGTATTTTGTTTTTGTATTTTGTTTTTGTTGTCTGCACAGCCTCCGTCATTTCATGGCAGACAGGATGCTTTAAAACACGAGGGAACATGGGGCTGGACCCATAGTACAGTGGTTAGGATTTTGGTTGTGCGTGCAACCATCCCGGTTCAATCCCTGGCATCCCACATTGTCCCCTGAGTGCAGAGCTAGGAGTAAGTGCTGAGCACCCCCCGGTGTGGCCCAAAAACAAAAATATAAATAAAAGAAAAATAAAGTGCAAGGAAACCCATCTTAGAGTAGCCGACAGTCCACCTGCCCTTATTTCCATCATTTTAACCTGGATCTCAGGTTGTGCTGCTGGAGCTTGGCTCAGAGCCTAAGAACTGTCGATCTTACGATGCCAACCCTCATTGAGCCTGTGTAGAGTGTAAGGACACACTTTTAACCAGGCTGCTTAGAAAAGTACCAAGTTGACATAGCCTGTCTCCCAAGTAGTGACTACTCAGAAGACATATTGAAGGAAAAGCTGTTTTTCAACATAAGCAGAAGGTCAGTTCTAATATTTTGATTTTATACCAAGAGCTCATGTTCACTTACTGAGCTAAGTACTTTTAACACATATTATCTATTCAATTCTAAGAACCCCATGGAAGAGATATACTATTATGGATATATTATGGGTGCATGCTTTTTTTATTCCCTTATGACATAACCCCTTTTATCACAGCTCTTGGGAGACCAATCTTTGAAAACTGGGGCAGTGTTGTAATGAAACTGAATGTTGGGGTGGGTTAAGGCCTTTTCTGAGTCCTCTGAAGTCTTCCACATCTGTGCTGGCATGGGTTTTGTTTTGTTTTGTTTCTTAGTGAGGTCAAGAAATTTTATTTATTTAAAGAGGAGAGAGAAGAGGGAACACAGTAAGGGGAGAGTGTCTGCTCCTCCAGAGAGAGGAGGATGCCATGAAGTAAGAGAAAGGGCACTGTAGCCCTACAGATGACTCTGGAGTGGCCTGTGCCTATGTGAGGGGAGACCCTTTCCCCTCCCCAGGGTTCCCATTCCAGGCACAACTGATGGTACTCAGTGACACTTCCTTCCCCAGGCATTCCTGTAGACAGGAAGAGCGCTAAGGAATCTTTTTATCCCCACCTCCACCCCAACACACACACACACACACACACACACACACACACACACCCACACACACACACCCCAGAGAGGTCCAAGTAGTGAATATCCTTTCAGACCAACTACTTGTTTCTGCTGTTGTGAATCTGCATGAATGAGCTTCACTGCCATTTAGTAAAACTTTATTTACAAAGTCAGGTGCTGACAGTTTTGGTCCAAGGGAGGCCATAACATTTGCCTTCTTTTGCCTTAAGGTGTTCCTAGGCACTTAGAAGTACCCTTTTTTAAAAAATATTTTTTAAATTGTGGTATGATGATTTATATGGTAGCGGGGTCATTATTACTCAGAAATACTTTAAATGTCTGTAGTATTGATTGGCTTGCTCAATGTTCCTTGCTTTGAAACTCTTGAAAGAATCAGGGCACATGGTAAAAGTACTCAGCTGCACCAGAATGGTTATAGTAGAAAGCAGTCATCCAGCCTTGGTTTCCCCTTTCTTTTTGGGACTGCAATGACACCCTGGAACCCAGCTTTTCCTTTCTATTTTGGGGTTTCGGTTTTGATTTGGGGGCCATACCCAGCAATTCTTGGGCTTAGTCCTGACTCTGTGCTCAGAGGTGGTGCTCCAGGGACCCTTTGTGGTGCCGGGGATCAAATCCAGGTGAGCAGAGTCCACGCAAGCTCTTTACCCCTGTGCTTTCCCCATCGGTGCCCTTTTATTCTCCTCATTGAGCCAAGTTGCAGAAGGAACAAAGGAGACCCCTAATCATTGCCACCCCCCCTTGCCACACTCCCCACAGTGCCAGGCAGAGGGCAGGTTTCTCAAACTGAAGAAAACTCTTGAATTAAATTCTGTCTTGCAGTTGTCTCGACTTGGAGCAGTGTTCTCTTAAAGTCTTGGAGCCTGAAGGAAGCCCCAGCCTGTGCTTACTGAAGCTGATGGGGGAAAAGGGGTGCACAGTCGTGGAACTGAGTGACTTCCTGCATGCTATGGAGCACACGGAAGTTCTCCAGCTTCTCAGCCGTCCCGGTAGGTGCTCCCTTTCCAGCCACTCTGAGAACACTCACAGAGCAAATGTGGTACATAAACATAGGAATATAATGGTTCCCCAAGCCAGGAGACACTTCCAGAATAACCAGAATCATTGGGCTTTAACTTGCCTCTGTGATAATAGGGAGTTTATCAGGTGATAATGGTGGTGGTGTTCCACAGAAGAATAACTTTATTCCAAGGCAATGGTTGCTTCCAAGACATAAAGTACACAGGAGTAAGGTTTCTATCACTTCCCCTGAAATAGTACAGCCAAGGAAGATACACATATTGGGGGGTGTGTGTGTGTGTGGACTGGAGAAAACAAACATGACAAAATGTTTACTTGGGATTTGGGGTTGATGTTTTCTTTTGGTCAGTGTGGTGGTTTTGACATGTTGATTGATTCATCTAGCAATCTTTTTCTGTCTGTGCCAACACTGTGTTGTGTGGTTCGATATGAGCAGTGTGGGAAAGTCCTCTCTAGAGTTGCGTGCCTGCTCCGGCAGGAAGAACCACATCATGGAAGTCAGTGAAGGCCACAGCCCTGTGAGCTGCCTGTCTTGGGAAGCTAGTGGATTTGGGACAGATAGTATAGTGGTGACTTTCCAGTTCTTGTCCCAGAAACCCCAGCTCAGGTGGCACAATAAGGAAGGTCTAAAGCAGATTGGATTTTCAGAGGCAAAATGCAACCCTGCTCCAAAGAAATTGGCTTGCTCCTATCTTTGCTTGTTCTCCCCACCAATGGCTGAGCCTGACGTTCTGTATCATGTCTAGTTCTCCTCACATGTGTCTGGGCTCCAGTGAGAACCCCAAGATTCACTCTAGTTAGCTGTTGCAACACACAAGTGTGCCCCTCACACTCGGCTAGAGAGGTGGACAGTGCCACTGGATCAGGCCAGGAATAGAGTGAGGTCAAATTGGCTCCAGAAACCACATGGATCACCATATGCCACTGGGCCAGTGGGAAGTTGCAGAACCAATGAGGGGAAATAATAGAAGAGTTCACTGCACAAGGAGAAGACCTGGGCTTACAAATCCAGGGACGTGGACTCTTGTGCCACCTTATTTTTCAGAGCCTGGGATGGATGAGAAAATAGTCCATCCCTACAAGTCACACCCTGTAGGAGGACTTCTGCATGCCGCCTCATCCTAAGAGGCTTGGTAGGAATCACAGAACACTATTGCCTGTCATAATCAGTAAAATACTTTCAAAGAGGTTTGTTCATTTTTGCTTTCTTTAGGACTACCCCAAGAATTTGTGAGCATTCTGACCTAGGGCCTAGCTTCTTAATCTCAAGGGTCGAGATCCCAGATGGGGCACCCATGCCTTTTTTAACTTTGACTTTAAAATAAATTTCTTCATATTTTTTTTCTCAGTAAATGTCTGTTTTGTTTGTTTTAGAACCACAGCGGGCAGTGCTAAGTATTTACTCTGGCTCTATGCCCAGGGTTCATTCCCTGTGGTGCTCAGGGGTACACCCATATGGGGTGCCAGGGATCAAACGTGAATTAGCCGCATGCTAGACAAGCACTCTGGCCCCATGTCAGTAACTGTCTGGTATGTGTATCTACCTTATGTACCTATATACCCAGGGTCATATAGAAATTTCCTGGGCGAAAATTGGCCACGAGTTGAACAGCAAATGCAGCCCTAAGCCAGGGCACTCGGTGTTCAGTTCCCATGCATCACAGAATCCAAGGGCTCGGGGAGCCAAGGGACCTCTCTGGCCAGTCAGCACTATTCGGTCTCATTCTCTCGTCATTGAACTGAGTTCCTCAGACCCTTGTCAGCAGAGTCCAATGAGTTATAGGCCTCAACCCTCGGAATCTGCACACATAGGGCCTGTGATTCTTCACGACTTCCCTGTAGGAAGCTGGGCTTGACTGAGACAGATCACATTTGTTGGTGAATAACGGCCTGCCTGAGATATTTAAGCAACGTTTCCTAGTTGGATTTCTGAAAACCCAGCAATGAATCCAGTCCCGTGCAAGCTGTGTGGCAAGTGCACTTCTATGCTTGGTCTTCTCCAGATGCTGGGATTAGTGCCTTGCCCTCAGCATTCCCCTGTGTAAGATGGTCTGGTGGGCTTCTTTACAGTTAGCCCCTGTTACCTTTTCCCATTTGAGGAGATAATCGGAAAAGATAACTGCTAATGTAGAAACTACTAATGCAGCGTTCTGTGAAGTTTTGAAGTTTCATGTCCTATTAGCCTCAATTGGTATCCATTGAGAAACTAGCTAGAGTGATAGTATAGCAGGTGGGGCATTTTCCTTGCATGTGGCCAACCCAGGTTCAATCTCTGGCACCCATGCGGTCCCCCAAGCATCACCAGGAATGACTCCTGAGCCCAGAGCCAGGAGTAAGCCCTGAGCACTGCCAGCCCCAAAAACAAACTGGAAAAAAAAAAATATAGAGATGTATATGTGTGTATACATACACACACACACACACACACACACACACACACAGATAAATATGAAACAGGTATTAGGGGACAGCAGAGATAGTATAGGGCTAAAGGCACTTTTTTTTGCATGTGGCTAACCCAGGTTTCATCCCTGTTTCAGCACTACAGTTTCTACCCAAGAGTTTCCAGGGGTAACTCCTGAGCACAGAGCTAGTAGTAAGCCCTGAGAACTTTGAACCATGAGGTGTAGTCCAACAGCCAAAAACCAGGGGACAGAGAGATAGTACAGCAGGTAGGGCACTGCCTTGCATGTGCCCAACCTGGGTTTAATCCCTGGTATTCCATATGGTCCCCTGAGCCCTGCCAGGAGTGATCTCTGAGCACAAAGTCAGGAGTATAAGTCCTAAGCAGCCAGGTTGACCAAAAAAACAACAACAAAAATATTTATTTGAAATTTAGAACAGCATTACTCTAAACATTGAATTTTTACCCACAAACAGTTTGGTGAAAATTTAGATAGTCAAAACTTACCATTTGGGGGCTGGAGTGATAGCACAGCGAGTAAGGCGTTTGCCTTGCACGCAGCCAACATGGCCAACACAGGTTCGATTCCCAGCATCCCATATGGTCCCCAGAGCACCGCCAGGAGCAATTCCTGAGTGCATGAGCCAGGAGTAACCCCTGAGCATCGCCGGGTGTGACCCAAAAAGCAAAAAAAAAAAAAAAAAACCTTACCATTTGACCAGAGTCATTGTTGGTTGCTGACCAACCTAGGGTTAGAACCAGAGCCCACTGGCAGTGTCTTTTCTATAATGCTGGAAGATTTTCATAAAATCTTTGACCGGTAGATTTCAGGTGGGGTTGTTTTTTTTTTTTGGTCCATTTAAAATCCTCAAATACTACCCTATTCACTACGGCAGGTGGGGGCTGGACCTGGAGGGCCCAATCACTGCAGAGTCAGAGCAGCACCACATTGCCAGGCCCAGGCATTGAACTGGCCAGCCCAGTTGTCTATTACCACAAGTGGCATCCAGATCCCTGAGCATCCCTGGAATTCCCCATCCACATACAAGAAAAATACCCAAATGCTATCTTATTACTTGGACTTGTTTGTATGTTAAACCACTGAAATTCCTGGAAGGAAAATACAAAGGAGTGAGAAAAAATACTCAGCTGATGTGGATAGGGAAGGTGACAGGATGACAGGATGCAGTAGAGAGAGAGAGAGGAGGGAGCAGTAAGTGAGGGGAGAGTGTGTGGTCCCATTCAGGGCTTCAGAACAGGACACCAGGAGACTAGCTTGTGGAGTGGACTAGCTTGTGAGGGGTGTCCACAGGCATGCTTCAATCTGGAATTGTTGGAAGAAGATAATCGGTATTCTGTAATGGCATCGAGGGCTTTGAAGTGAAAACTTAGACATATTTCAAATAACCTCAAGAGAGAATTTTAGGTCCATCTTACCCAGAACAGGGGATACCACCCTTTACCCCCTACCCAGGGCCTTCAGTCGCCTCTGGTGCAATGGGGAGGAAGTGCCTCTGTGTTTGCTTAAAGAAAGTAGAGTGGTAGGGGTGTGTGTGTGTGTGTGTGTGTGTGTGTGTAGGAGATTGCAGGCCAGGTAACTCTGGGATTTGTTTGTTAGTTGGTTTTGGAGCCAAACCAGGTTGTATTCAGGGTTCACTCCTGGATCTGCACTTGGGGATCACTCCTAGTGGTGCTCCAGGAACCATATGCAGTGCTGCGTATGAAGTGCCAGGGATCATACCTGAGTCTGATCATACTTGAGCCCATGTCAGCCATGTGCAAGGCAAACACCTTACCTGCTGTACTCTCTCACTGGCCCCAAGTTTGGGAACTTCTGATTTAGGTAGGAATTGATAGAAAAAGATTGTTGGTTCATGGTCTTTGAAAAATGGGTACAGGGGCTGGAGATATTGTTCAAGGTAAATGAAAGCACATGCCTTGCATGTGTCAACCACAATTTGATCACTGATACCTCTTGTTCCACTTACCATTGCTTGGATGCAGCCCTGAATCCCCTTTGCGTCTCTGGGTATGGCCCTGGAGTCCCCAGCACACTGGGAGTGCCTGGGTAATCCCTACCCTACAGGGACAAGTAGCACCACATTCTCACGCCCTTGCATGAAGCCACTGGCCTGATTGGCAGAGAATTTCCAGTCAGAATCCCTAGACCTCCTGAACAATGCTTGGGAGACAACCTCCCCCCTCCCGCTCCTTTCCCCGCAAAAAGATGCATTTGTATGTATGCAATAGATCTATTCCTGGCAAAACTGAATTACATCACCATGTTTGTGCCTTGTCAGGGAGAGATGCTGAGTCATTTTGTCAAGTTAGCCTCACCCTAATTTGTCTGTCCTGTGATTCCTGCAGGATTCCTGTCCTATGGTTCAACATCAGTTGTCTATTGATCCCCTTAGGTGTGTCCTGAAAGCCTGATCCTCCTGTCCCTAATCAAGCTCTCCCCTGTTTACAGGAAGTCATCACCTCTTTGACTTCTTGGCTGATGTTATCTAAAAACAGGCTTCTTTGCCAGGAAGCCATGCATTCAGCCTCTCACACAGAACTTTCCTTTGTGTGTGCGCCCTCCATGGCACAGGCCCCCATATCCTCCCTCACCCTGCACATGTGGTGATTCAAGTTGGCCATAGTTCCCTGCAGCCCAGTGCTGTGTGGGAGGAAGGAAGCGTGCGGTGAAAGCATGAGAGGAGTTTCGACTCTGCTCTTTACTACTCACCCAGGGTGGTTTCCAGATCACCTGGTGCCTGTCACTTCTCAGTCTCTAAAGTAGTAAGTTGTAAACATGCATGTTTACTTGCTTGCTGAATGCTAGTGATGAACGTTTTTAGTCCAGATCTAGAAGCTATGTGTCTGCATGGATATTAGACAGCATTTACTGGGCCAGAGAGATAACTCAGTAGGCTGAGCACAGGCTTTGCTGGCCAGAGGCTTGGGTTTGACCCCCAACAGCGCAGGGACCCGCAGATACCACTGTGAGTGACCCCAGCATTTACTCATTTACTCAACTCACAGAGGAAGGATATTTTCAAGAAGACCTTTTTCACTAAGGTCTCATTCCTTTGCATAAGGCCCTCTCTGGAGAAAGCCCTTTCATTTCCTCCTCGTCTCTTGTCTTCTTGGTTACGTATAAAGGATATTTGCTGTGGTCCATATATAAGCATGGCCCAAGCACATAGAATGACCTGTTGCTGCCCCCCCCCCCATTATGTGAGAGACTCCCTGGTCTGACAGGTGAGAGGACCCTGGGAAAATTGCTCCAAAATATGAGTGTGTGGGGTGGGGATGTATAGCTAACTTAGTTACCCTAATCAGTACCGGCATGCAATGGATTTGTGTTTCTAATCAGTAATCACTGTATCACTGTCATCCTATTGTTCATCTATTGCCTCGAGCAGGCCCCAGTAACGTCTCCTTCATCCTAGCCCTGAGATTTTAAAAAGTGCCACATTCCAGACTCTATCAGGGTCAGGAGAATGAGACCCGTGATTGTTACTGGTTTTTGGCATATTAAATATACCATGGGGAATTTGCCAGGCTCTGCCGTGTGGGCAGGATACTTTTGGTAGCCTGCCAGGTTTTCCAGAGTAAGAACTGGATAATAAGATGTCATGGCCCCGCGTTTCTGGAAGCAGGGTTTTATAGTCTCTGGGCTGTTGATGGGATTACATGGTGCTGGGGGCAGTTGGTGGGTGTAACGCCTACATACTGGAAGATGGGGGATCTGGGTGGAGGAGGCCCCAGTGCCAATCCAAGCAGGCTTGGAGATCTACGTCCTGGGTCCCGCACATCTAGGTTTCTCTGCCGGTTCCTTCATGCGTGAGGCTCGTCTGAATGTGTGGAGAGAGGTCTTAAGCATGGCTGTGGCTGGAACCGGAGGTCTTCAGCTGCCGGGGCTCTGCTTGGGGTGGGGAGGGAAACTCAACTCACCCTCCTCACCTCAGTAAAGGTGGATGAAAAAAGACTGCTGGAATAGCAGTAGCATGAGGAAGACCCTAGTTTGCATTCTAGTTCTTCCACCTATAGTGGGGGCAGAGGGGTTGTCAGAGAGACTCAGTAGTTTACCCAAGGCAGTTGGGGTGGCCTTCCGCAGATGACTGAACTCAGCGTGCTGATTAATATCTAACCTTGCTGGTTATTTTGAAGGTTAGAGATCAAAATGTCTGGCACATGTAATACAGCACATGTAATACAGTAACTTACCACTGCTGTGATCTTACTATTACTGTACTTATTTACTCAGTCAATAGGTGTTGAACGCTAAGGAAACTGGCAATTAAGGGTCTTGTTCTCTAGCTCCTATTTCAGTGGGTGAGGCCAAGTAAGAAACAGGATTTGTGCAGTGAGGATTACACAGCAGGGTGAAAATGATGGTGAACTTGGGGGGTGGAGGGGGAGAAGGAGGCCAGCTCATTTGAGTCCTTTCCCAGGGGACGCCTGAGACCTCAGGTGTGAGAAGAAAAGGAGCCTGGGGGCAGCTCCATCTGAGCTGTGTGGCAAGTGGAAATGCAGAGCATGGCTTGGCTTCCAGAAGAAAGAGAGGCCCAGGTGGCAGGAGCCGGAAGCGGGCCGGGAAGGGAGGACAGCGAGGGTAGAGAAGGCAGAGGGCTGTAGTGGCTCGAATCACAGGATGGACAGAGATTCGTAGGTTTCTCCAGGACACAGGTTCACCATAGCTGGGTCAAGTGCCAGTGAGGCTTGGTTAAATTCAGGGTACCCCTGTCAGCCACACTTATAAAAATCTGTAAACCCACCAATTCAGACAATAGCTTAGCAACAATCCCCCAGCCCAGTCTCCCACTCTCCTTTCTTGAAGTCTTATGTCAAAAGTTTTTCCTGTCAGGCCGAGAACTGAAGGGCGGCACATCATTTTCTCCCCCATATGTGGGGAAGTAATGAGATACGGGGAGTAATGAGTCGATCAAAGGCTTCTGCCCACAGGTTTCCTTCTCTCCTCCCGGTTTATTATACCTGGAACTCACGAACTCCCACTAATGGAGAAAATGTAAAGCGGGTGGGATGGTGGGGGATGGCAGGGGCAGGGGGATGTTAATAACAAGATGGATATGCAGGTTATTTCCAACATGCCATTTTTGTTGTTTATTTCAGAAATAGAAACACAGAAAATACCTCATTTTTACTTAATTTAACTTTTTTTTCCCCCCCAAAGGATTAAAGATCACTGTAAACCCAGAATCAAAGGCAGTCTTGGCTGGACAGTTTGTGAAATTGTGTTGCCGGGCAACTGGACATCCTTTTGTGCAATATCAATGGTTCAAAATGAATAAGGAGGTAATTTTTAATGTCTTTTAATTTCTCTGTCACAAGAGAGAATGATAGAAAAGTAATGTTATTGTCCTCAGTGCTATTAGAAATTTTTCTAAAAGAGCTGACTGCTATTATCAATGTTATATTGAGATATCTAATGTTATTTTGGTAAAATAATTCCCGAAAAATTCTTACCGAGGCATTTTTGTGAGCAATACTGGAACCAGTTTTTTACTCTCAAAAGAGGGGGGTCTGAGTGATAGTATAGTGGCTAGAATATTTGCCTGGGATATGACCAACCTGGGTTTGAACCCTGGCACCGCATATGGTCCTCTCTGCCCACTAGAAGGAATCCCTGAGGGCAGAGCCAGGAAGTAAATCCTGAGCACTGACAGGTGCGCCCCCCCCCCAAAAAAAAACAAGATAAAAATAGGGATTAGTTGGAGCAACCATGTTGACAAGTATGACGCATCACCAGAACCTTCTAGCAAATCTGTGTAAGATTCTTTATAGCAGGGGCGAAAGAGATAGTGCAGTGGTCAAGGTGTTTGCTCTCCCTGCATCCCATATGGTCCCCTGAGCATCACCAGAAGTAATTTCTGAGTACAAAACCAGGTGTAACCCCTGAGCATTTCTGGGTATGTCCCAAAATAAGAATAAAACAAAACAGAAAAATTATGCACCAACCAGAATCTTTAATTAAAAGATTTCAAAGCAGCATAGATGGCTAATGTGATTTTATCTTAAGCCTTCCAGATAACTGTACTATGTATATATTATATGTATTATCATAGTATATGTCATAAGAGGGTATTGACTACTGGACTAGATGGGAGAACAGGGTTTAAGGGGCTAAGTGTATTCTCTGCATGCAGGTTTGATCCCCAGCACCCCAGACAGTGGGAGTAGCCCTTGAGTACCACTGGGTGTGGCCCAAAAATCAGGGCAACCAAAGTTTAGTGTACTGTGGCTGACTGAGTTAAAATTCAGTTTAATGGAAAAGGCCGTTTATTCTGCTTATGGAAGGATTATGTTCTGCACCAACCCCTCCCCAAATCATTAAAAATGGCTGATTGGGGTTCTTTTTTTCTGAAGCCCTCTCTGAGCCACTTTGCCATTGGAATTTCCCACTGGTTTGGCTGGTCCATCTGCATCCCACTGACACTTTCTGTTCTGATTCTTCCTTTATCTCCACTGTGCCCTTCCCTGTACCTGGAATTTCCTCAATCTTCAGCCTGCCAGTCAAGTAACTCATAAGTTTTCTTCTTAATTTGACTCAAGCCTTCTTTTGTAAACTGGGAACATTCTCAGACTCAAAGGCTAGTGTGCATTTAGGAATCCCTGCTTCAGTGCCTGGCACTGGATGGTCCCCCAGACACAAGGAGCAACCCCCCACGCAACAAATCTTGAGCAGCCCTGGGCACCACAACGTATAGCACCAAAACCAGCAAACAGAACTATTTTGAGATTAGCTCTTTCTTTGAACAGGCTCACCCTGTGCCTTATAAGAAGTGTTCATGTCTCTTCTTTACAAGCCAGTAAGTCAGAGCAGCTGTAAATGAAGAGAGATCGTACTTAGGTTCTGGTGCCAGCAGACCTGTGTTGGAACCTTGGCTTCCTGGGTTAGCCATCTGAGCTTTGATATTGGGGCTGTGAGAATTCAGTAGACTTTCAAGAGGTGGAGTATGTGTGTGTGTGTGTGTGTGTGTGTGTGTGTGTGTGTGTGTGTGTGTGTGTGTGTCTGTGCGTCTGTCTGTTTGTCTGTCTATCTGTGTCTGTGTGAATTCAGGAAATAGGCTAGGCTTTCAAGAGGATGTGCGTGTATCTGTGTGAGTGAGTGAATTCAATAGACTAGGTTTTCAAGAGATGAATGTGTATGTGTGTGTTTGTGTGTGTGTGTGTGTGTGTGTGTGAATTCAGTAGACAGGCTGGGTTTTCAAGAGGTGAATGTGTGTGTGTGTGTGTGTGTGTGTGTGTGTGTGTATTGTTTTGACAGGATTAAACCTAGGTTTTAGACTTTACTGTTGAGCCACCTTCCCAGTTCCCAAAATTTTTTGCCATATTTTCTCAATTGTAGAGTTGCTTTCATTTTAAGAATTGTTTTTTTTTTTATTTTGTGATGTTTGCATTTAAGACAGCTTCTGGTAAGATATAATTGATATTTAGTAAACTACAAGTATTTCATGTGTGTATTTTGATGGAAGGGTTTTTTGGGTTATTTTTTTTTCCCCGTTTGTTATTGCAGGGCAGATGGCTGGCATTTAACTCGGAGCCTCACACATGTGAGGCAAGTGTTCTATCACTGAGCCCTCACCCTCGATGAGTTCTGACATACATATACAACCGTTATTACACTTGAAATTAACCAGAAGCTGCAAAGTGACATCGCCATCATTATAATAAAAATAATGGCCATAGTTATCATCTCCTTGCAATGTCTTCTTCTCCCCTCTCTTCCCCAAAAACCACTGATCTGATTTCTCCAATTGGTCACTGGTCTGCTGACATTAGTTTGTGTTTTGGAGAACTTTACACAGAAGTGATCATGAAGAATGTATTATCTTTTTTTCTTGCTTATCTTTTTTTTTTTCTCAACATATTGATCACAGACTTGTCACATGCAGCAGCAGTCTCTGTGTGACCGCACAGTTTATTTGCTCTTTCTGGATGATAGGGCAGATGAACTGATTTGAATAGCAAGTAATGATTTGTTTCTAATCAGATTTTATTGGTTTACAGTCCGGTAAAGTTTCAGGAGTGCAGCTCCATACTCCCTGTATGTATGACTCACCACACCCACTTGAAGTTGCAGTGCCATCCCTCTGTCCAAATGACTCCTCCCCATCCGCACTCACCCCTGCCCCTTTTTCTCCATGTTTTTCTTGTGTTTTTTGCTAGTTCATCTGCTTTGATTTGTTAACCAGAAATGACTGGTGGTTTTTGTTTTTTTTTACTTTGGGATCCAGCCGGGAGGCTCATGCATGTCAAAATGCACGTGTCTGTGCTCTCTGCCAGGGAGTAGTAACTGGCCATAGTCACTGCCTTTTGGCAGAGAAATAATGATAAAACTGAGGTCGATGGTTGATGGAGTGAGTCCTGATTTGAGGAAGGTAGCCATGTAGGTGATGGTGCCACACCCGGCAGTACTCAGACTTACTCCTGGCTCTGTACTCAGGGACCGCTTCCTGGCAGGACTCAGGGGACCATAGGGGTTATAGGGGTTTGAACCTGGATCAACTGCATGTAAGGCAAGTGCCCTGCCCTGTGTACTGTATCTTTAGCCCCAGTGTTTATTTCTTTTTACTGAAGTAAATGGTTTTGCTTAGAGAAATATGAAGGGTGAGAGAATGAGAGACTGTGTGTGGTACATATTCAAATGTGAGCATGGCCTTCTCCAAAGGGAAGAGGGCCGAGAGTGCACATATCAAGGGAGCTGCAAACGAATTTTCAGGATAATGTAACTCAAAGTGCTTATTTTTTAAGTAGGAAGTACTTTAGGACATGGGAAAAAACAGCACTGTTTTCAGAGCCCCCCAGTCTGGCACTTCGCAGGGTACATCTGCTAAAGCATGCTTGGTGGCTGAGTCGCTTATATTCTGCTGTTGGTTCTTTCACAGATTCCCAATGGAAATGCATCTGAACTTATTTTTACTACTGTACATGTAAAAGATGCCGGCTTTTATGTCTGTAGAGTTAATAATCATTTTACCTTCGAATTCAGCCAGTGGTCTCAGCTTGATGTCTGTGAGCCCACAGAAGTAACAGGAAGCTTCCAAAGTAAGTAATAATAAGTGGAGTGGGAATTGCCTGTCTTTTATTATGCCTTTATTTTTTAATTAATTCCAAAGTGTCCAAAAACACCAAAAGCTAGGGGCTGGATGGATAATACAGAGGGTAGGGTGTTTGCCTTGTGCATGACTGACCCGGGTTTGATCCCTGGAACCCTGTATGCTCCCCCATGCCTCTCCAGGAGAGATCCCTGAGCACAGAGCCAGGTGTATCCCACTACCAGGTGTGGCCCTCCAAAAAAAAAATAGCAGAATCTGTCATATGTACTTTTTTATAAAGTCATCAGTTACTAAGATTTTATCCAACTTTGCTTTGATCCTCTTTCTGGCCAGGTATATACTAACCCTTCTGTTATTATTTACTGGAGCTTTCCACATACATAGGTATATGTATACATATATACTTACACACATACATATTTAGCACATATGTACAGGCCTCACAGAACCCTTCTCAGTCTGGATCTGCTAAATCTTGCCTTTTCTCGTGTATTGAAATATTGTGGTCCCTGACTTTCGAAGAGAAAAAGTTAGTTTATAATTGATTTTTTTGTTTGATACTTTGATTTTGGGTCACACCCAGTGGGTGGTACTCAGGGGTTACTCCTGGTTCTGCATCGAGGAATCAATCCTAGTGAGCTCAGGAACTACATATAGGGGATGCCGGGGATGGAACCTAAGTCAGCCACATGCAAGGCAAGCCTTGTCAACTGTACTATCTCTCCAGCACCTATAATTCTCCCAAATTATTACCTATAAAAAATCATTTTGGTAAAAGAACTCCATAAAGTGGATGTCAACATGGAAGATTGAACAGTGTATGTATGTATGTATCTTTCATGCAGTAAATTTCAGCCACTAGTTTTCTTTCTGTCATCCATTTGTGTTTTTCGGTGGGCCAGGAATTGAACCCAGGGCCTCATGCCCCTGTTAGGCAGATACTCTTTTTTTTTTTTAATGTAGGAGTACTGCTATTTATTCAGCCACTGGTTAGCTGATTAAATTGTGCATGAACTCCACCTTACTTTTTTTTAAATTTTTTATAATTTTATTTATTGAATCACCGTGAGAGCAGTTACAAAGCTTTCAGGTCTAAGTCTCGGTCATACAATGAAACACCCGTACCTTTACCAATGCCCATTCTCTACCCCCAACAACCCCAGTATACCCCCATCCCCGCACCCTCCCCCTACCTGTGGGGCAGACGATTTCTACATTACTCTCTCTCTACTTTGATCACATTCAATATTTTGACACCAGACCCACCATTATTATTTGAGATTTTACCCCAACACTCAGGTCTTCTGAAAAGGCAACAGTAGACAATTTGTTTTCTGTTGCTGGTTATGAATAACATGATGTCACATGGCTGCAGTAGTGGCCGCGCGATTTTGAAATTCCAAAATTTTAACACTTAAATCTGCAGGAATTTCTGCCAAAACCTGCTGGGTTCCTGAGTCTCTGGGATCATGGCCATGAAGCAGCTTGATCAGGAGCCAAAAAGGCCGTTCATGAGCGATGACTTGGGGTCTCGTTGGGGTGGGGAGGACAGGACCAGCTCCACCCCCATCCTGTGAGGCCCAAAATGTCTCGTCACTGTGGGCCCAAACCTGACTGTCCAATGTCCTCTGAAGGATGACGGCCACCGAGCCGCCAGGGGGAAGCAGGCGGAGGGACAACACCCTTTCCCCCCTGGAGTGGCCCGGCAATAGTAACCTACTGTGGGGTTCAACGCATTTCTGCCAAAAATCGCTGGGCTTCGAGATTTTGTTTCTGAGTCTCTGAGATCATGGCCGTTAAGCAGCTTGATCAGGAGCCAGAGAGGCCGTTTGTGGGCGATGACTTGGGGTCTCGTTGGGGTGGGGAGGACAGGACTGGCTCCACCGACATCCCGTGAGGCCCTGCGTGTCTCGTCACTGCGGGCCCAAACCTGACTGTCCAGTGGCCTCTGGAAGATGGCGACCATCAGGCCGCCAGAGGGAACAGGCCAAGGCACAAAACCTATTCCCACCTTGGTTGGCCCAGCACCCGTAACCTACTGCAGGGACTGGACGCATTTCTGCCAAAAGCCTCTGGGTTTCAAGATTTGTTTCTGAGTCTGGAATCATGGCCATTAAGCAGTTCAATCAGGAATCAGAGAGGCCATGCCTCCAATTACATAGCTGAGCCTGAGGTGGTTTGTGGGTGTGTTTACCACATACCTAACTTTTGGTCGTTTACTTTCTTGGTAAACTTTGCCCCAAGTTTTTGGGATCTGGCCAAAGGCACAGCAGCAATTTTGGGGTATCTGGAAGTCTGAAGGCACCATCAGGCTGCTGATGCACTCACTTCACAGGTGTAGACTGACCTGCTGGCGGCACCATACCCCCTAGGCAGATACTCTTAACACTAAACCATGTTTTCAGCCCTCATCTATCTTTTTAGTCAAGTGATTAGTATTGATCATGAAGAAATTCAGTCTACTCTGAAGAATAGCCTTCATCTGTCTGTTAGAGTTAGACCTAGTCAGGATCCTTATTCATTCTGCCAGGCAGAACAAGAAGCAGAGTTTTGGAGTTTTTGAAGACAGAGCCAGTCTGTCTGCCACTCTTCTTGCACAGCTTACCTTTGTCTATATCTAATAGTCTCCAATACAATAGTGGTTGTATTGCAGAGTGTGTTGTATCTTCCTAGAATATTTCTATACATTCATTTCATTTCATTTCATCATCCTGTTATTCGTCGATTGCCTCGAGCAGGCCCCAGTAACGTCTCTTTCATCCTAACCCTGAGATTATATTCAAGGCTCTTTAGGAGAATGAGACCATCATTGTTACTGGTATTTGGCATATTTGGTACGCCACCGGGAGTTTGCCAGACTCTGCCCTGTGGGCAGGCTATATTCGATAGCCTGCAAGTTCTATACATGCAATAAGCTTTATTTACCATGATATCAGGGGCTGGAGCGATAGCACAGATGTAGGGTGTTTGCCTTGCGGTCAGCAGGCCTGGCTGAGCCAGGTTCAATTCCTCCACTCCTCTTGGAGAACCCGGCAAGCTATCAAGAACATCTCGCCTGCACAGCAAAGTCAGGCAAGCTACCCATGATATATTCAATATGCCAAACACAGAAATAACAAGTCTCACGATGGAGATGTTACTGGGCCCGCTCGAGTAAATCAATGAACAACAGGAGGACAGTGACAGAAACAATGATATCAGACTCATTGATCATCTGTATTGTGCCAGACACTAACTCTGTAATTGAGACTTAGTATTGCATATTATTGACAAGCCTGTTCTCTGTCATGAAATGTAGAGAATTGTAAATGAATGTTTAATAAGTAATGCTTCTGATATCCTTCATGCGGAGAACTGCTAGTAATAGCAGGTGTATTTATTCAGTTCTTATTATAAAATATCCTATTTTAATAAGTCAGATTAAGTCACCAGTCCACAATCAGTGCTGTGGATTGGTGAAGTCCAAAGGCTTAAAAAGTTTGGGAACCAAAAAAAAAAAAGTTTGGGAACAACTGGGTTATATCACACAGCAGGTCTTGAATGTGAATGTCTCATTTGCGCCCAAAACTTTCTGCAACCAAATTGTTTGTGAACTCCTTGAGCTATTGTCTACTCTTCATTCATTGAGCACAATAATACTTTGATTTTTTTGTTTGGGTATTTTTCTGGAGAAGTGGGGTGAGGTTCACACAGTGGTGCTCAGGGCTTCCTGGCTCTGAGCACAGGGATCAGTCCTGGTGGTGCTCAACAGATCATTTGGGGTTCCAGAGATCAAACCCAAGTCTGCTGCATGAAAATCAAGTGTGTTTACCCACTGTGCTTTTATTGGCCCTTTATACAGACTTTCTTTCTTCATTGCTTGGAGGATGATAGCTTCATGGCATATAGTTTAGGAGATGCTTTTAAAGATTCTTGGTGGTGGGGCTGGAGCAGTAGTATAGCAGGTAGGGCGTTTGCCTTGCACGCGGCTGACCCGGGTTCAATCCCTGGCATCCAATATGGTCCCCCAAGCACCACCAGGAGTAATTCCTGAGTTTAGAGCCAGGAGTAACCCCTGAGCATCACTAGGTGTGACCCTAAAAAGCAAAAAAAAAGATTCTTGGTGGATTGTGAGATATAACAATGATCATTAATTGACTCTTACTCATCTAATTTTTTCATATTTCCATCTATAACAAGCAATATGAAGTAAATTTGTTTGTGCCGGCAAGGGGACAGTCTTGGTGGGGGGAATGTCACACTGGTGGTGGGATTGATGTTGGAACATTGAATGCCTGAAACAACTATATTCCGAATTGGTAAATCAAATTGGTAAATCACTGTATTGGTAAATCACGGTGTTATAATCATTTTGTAAAAACAAATAAATGATAAATACCTCTAATTTTTTTATTAAGAAAGATTCTTTGTGGCATGTTTTTAATGACAAAGATGACAATATCTATTTTAAAAGTAAAATATAAAATATTTTAAATAAAATATCTATTTTAAAAGTAAAAGGAAACACTAACTTAAAGATCTCTTCATGTTTAATGATATTCTTTTTTTTTTTATCAAGGAAGTTGGGATGGTGTCTCTGAATCAAGATTGCAGATCTGTGTGGAACCTAAGTCCCAAAAGCTGATGCCTGGCAGCCCCTTGCTACTACAGTGTGTAGCTGTTGGAAGCCCCATACCTCACTATCAATGGTTCAAGAATGAGTCACCGTTAATACATGAGACCAAAAAGCTGTATATGGTAGGAAGCTGGTTTTACCTATGTGTGTTCATATGTAAAATAGTACAATGGAAGATTCAGGTGACTGTTAAAACTTTATATTCTTGTTACTATTTTAATGTTTCCAGTGTGTTTATGTCAATTTGTTTAATATCATTTGATTCTTATATTTGCAAAATTGCTAGAACAAAATACTGACATCTAAGAGCTTATCCATAAACTGTCAAAAGGATTAGTACCAATGCTACTATTAAACCTGATGAATGCAAATATTTTTAGAATGACCATGTACCTTCAGAAATGTTGTTTTGTAGAGTATTTTTAGAACACAAAATTACAAGTTTACTTCCAAGCCAGTTGAAATGAAACCTGAAGATATGTGTGTGTGCTCTGATAATGTCACAGGTGCCATATGTGGATTTGGAGCATCAGGGAACCTACTGGTGTCATGTATATAATGATCGGGAGAGTCGAGACAGCAGGAAGGTGGAAATCACCATAGGTGAGTAATCACACTTGTTCTGACAAAGTCTGACTTATAAAAGGAAATATGTCAGCAATTGAAGTTGACTGAAGTTGTTTTTTCCCTGTTCTGTTTAGTGCTGTGATGGTACAAGGATTTAGAGTATGTAGTTGAGTGAATATACGCTAAATTCATAAGTCCATAGACAAAGAGCAAAAAAAATCCCAAAACAGCTTTTAAAAATTTTAGATCTTTTTTATTATCTTTGATTTTACTCATTTATTTTAAACATTTAGGACTGGAAAGGCAGCCCAAAGGGTTGGAGTGAATGCTTTGCATTCTGGGTTTGATCCCCTGAGGACACAATGGTCCCACAATCACTGAGCCATGACTGGTCCCACTCACTGCCAGGTGTGGCCCCAAAGCAACAACAATATCTTAGGATAAATTAAAAAGTACCTAAAACTTTAGCTATAAAAATCTTGATTTCAGGGAAAAACATATTTTAAAAGCTGGCATCATAGATGTGTCAATGAAAGAATGATTATGCATTAGCCATCCCAATGTATGAATACATGGGTGTTGATTCTCCTTAAGCTCTGCATTGTAGCTAGGGCCTGGTATTTTTTGTGCTGTTTGTTTCTGTTTGCTTGATGGCTTCCTAAGATTGTGAATTACAACGTGTTCACATTTGTTTCCTTTGGAACAAGGAAGAACAAATGAGGCAGTGGAATGCACCGAAGGTATTGTAACCCTTTGGTTAAAGCCAACTATCCTGCATGTCGATTCTTCTTGAGATTGGTGGAGAGCTCTGACAACCGCAGGCAGTGACAGAAAAAATACTAGCTCTCAGAAATGGTTCTCATGAAAGGAAGGATGGCATGTCTGAGTCTTGGAGGGTGTGTGAACTGTCATAGACGCAGTGAAACTGCCATCTATTAAAGCAACTAATTTTCGGTTTGATTTTAAGAATAGCTCCTGCACAGTGTTAGATGATATTTCTCCTGAGTGTTTAGATTATCTGTCCCTGGTCATGAAAAGATACCTCTTATATATAGACTCAGGACAGATTTATTGTCTAACACATGTATTTTAAAATATTACGTAATCTCCCTTAATATAAATTTAGAAAAGACTAATTTTTGAAGCTACATGGCTATAATCTACTGAGTCGCCTTTATCAAAACATATAAAAAGAAAACAGAAACTATTTCAATATAAGCTTTAGTTTTTTTATTGATCAAAGCTTTTTACTTAATGTTAAATTATTTTCCCATTGTGTGATGTCACATTTTTGCAAATTATAAATGAAGAGAGCAAAGTATTTTTTCAGTTTCTGCCTCAATAGAACACCTTTATAACCTCAGGTTCTAACTGGGTAAAATAAGAAAATGCTAAAACCGTGTTTCCTGGTTCTTCTTTCTTCAGACCTCTGTGGTGCTACTTGGGAATGCTGTATGTAATTGGTGTTTTCATTCCATTCCGAAGTTGTAAACAAGAGCATCAGCTTAAAGGAGTTCTGGGGCATGCTGTGCAAAGAAATCCTAATCAAACTTCCTTTCCTTCTCTTATTCCCATTTCTCCTGAATGCATGATTTTTAAAATGTCCTAACAGCAGGGACCTATCAAAATAGGTTTTGGGGTTTCAGAACACTGCATGCCAATCACCACCTTTCTCTACTGTCTCATCTGCATGATTTCCCCTTTGATTTTTGCTGTACGCTATTAAATGGCAATTTTCAAAAAAAAAAATGTCCACTCAGAGGTGAAAATCCTACTGTGAAACTTCTTCAAAAATTTCACTTGGAATATCTAGATCCAACTTTCTCCCCCCTCCCTTTTTTTTTTTCAATTTTTCTTTAAAAAAATGTCTACAAAGTTGAGATATTTCGGTCCGGAGCGGTCGTACAGGGGTTAAAGCACTTGCCTTCCTTGCATGTGGCCAATTCCTGTTTAATCATTGCACCATATATGGTCCTTGAGCCTCACCAGGAGCAATCCTTGAGGACAGAGGCAGGAGTAAGACCTGAGCACAGCTTGGTGTTAGGCCAAAACTAAAACAACAAACAAAAAAGTTGAGATGCTTTATAATTGGTAAATTGAGATATATTGGGAAGTGTCCTACATTATCTTTTTTAAAACTTGTTGGAATACAATGCTTTTGGTTTTTGTTGTTGTTGTTGTTTTTCATTTTAACATATATATTCTATGAAAGATTTGATTGGGACAGGGACAGGCCAGGAGTTGAATACAGGAAACTCAGGGGATTTTCTGAGCCTGTGAAACCATTCATTACAACCATTGTCATGGTGTATAAGTGTCTGTACCTTTGAAAGAAAGCATATAGTGGAGGATCAGAGGAGGGGCATGCTGGGATGGAATGCAGAATATGACAAAAGAATCCAACTATCAGGTGGTATGAAGGCACCTTCTTTGCAAGGGGATAGACATGGGCACAGGCCTGGGCCACCAAAGGGGAAAGTTGCACACAGCATGGGCAGCAGCTGCTCCTACTGCTGTGCTCTTTGTATCACGTACAAGAGAGGCTTCCAGTGTTGGCATTGTAGGAGGAGCCCACGACTTACGATTCATTGTGTTGGTTTCCATCTTCCTTAAATTTATAAAAGTGGAAATGAATGGCTGCCATGTCATGGACATTGGCCTCAATGGTTTCATCTGCTCTTTAGCTGGAAGGAGAAGTTAAGAATTCTGAGAGCGAGGGTCCAGAGTGCTAGTACAGCAGCTGACCTGAGTTCGATCCCCTACATCCCATATGGTCCCCCAAGCACCACCAGTAGTAATTCCTGAGTGCAGAGCCAGGAGTAACCACTGAGCATCACCAGGTATGACCCAAAAAGCCAAAAAAAAAAATCTGAATGAGCATCCCTCCAGGGGCACAGCCCACCAGTCGAACCATGAGAAAATCATCAGCCAGATCCCAACTGAAGGTCCACAAAATACCCACAATTAATCCTCAGAGCTGCTGGGTTCATCAGAATAAAACAAATCTGGAAACGGTCACAGGAACACGACACTCGCAGAAAGAGGAGTAATGAAGTACCCAAGATAGAAGGGATTTTGTGAGAGATGTTCCACGTACGGGACGCCAGGTCTGGGTACCCCGGTACTGATGAGCTCTGGACACTGATCAAAGTAGTTCTATAAGTCTCCAAAGGTTCAAAAATAAGAAAGGTTTTTCAGAAGGTTGTTTGAGAGTGTTTGTTTCAAGAAATTTATAGTTTAGGCCACAGGAAGTTCTCTTGATAAGTTTTGTTCCAAAATTAGTCAGAATACCTAAAACTTGGAACATATTGGAAAAGAGCTTATTTAGCTTTTAATTAATTTGTGAAAGCCATAATAGCACAGAAGCTTTGTATTTATCTATAGCAGCATTACTGCCCATTCAATAATTTGCATTGCTTCTTATCTAAGACATTTAAAAGTTCTAACTGATAAAGCACTATGATTTATTTATTTAATAATACTATGATTTAATTGCACAAACCCCACTTCTTTGATTACTCCCATAATCTGTCCTAAATTGCCAGTTTGATTACTTAAAGCTAATCTATTTTTCCTTGTTTTTTTAGATGAATTACATAATCTTGGGCATCCTGGTAAGTAAACATTAGTTTTATATTTGTTTTTGATTAGTTATTAAATACAGCAATTTAAAGAAACTTTAATTAGGTTTATTGGGGGAAGGTGTCCCAAGAGATGTTTCGGAGGCCCAGAGCCCCTGCCAGTCATTCTTGGCCAAATGGACCAGAGGTTCCTGTGGAGATCTGAGGGTGTGGTGCTGCTGCCACAGTGTCCCAGGATTCCTTGGGCTCACCATGGTGCTGGGAGTCCCCAGGACTCACCTATGCTGCTGGGGTCTCCAGGGCCACATTTGGTGATGCTTAGGGGGACCACATAGGACTGGAATTGAAATTGGAGTCAACCATGTACCAGCCCTGTGCCTTAACCATTGTACTGCCATGTCTGGCAGTGCTCAGGGCTTATTCCTGACTTTGTGCTCAGAGATCATTCATATATATATTCATATATATATATATGGGGGGGCTGGAGTGATAGCACAGTGGGTAGGGCATTTGCCTTGCACTCGGCCAACCCAGGTTCGATTTCTCTGTCCCTCTCAGAGAGCCCAGCAAGCTACTGAGAGTATCCTGCCCGCACAGCAGAGCCTGGCAAGCTTCCTGTGGTGTATGCGATATGCCAAAACCAGTAACAAGTTTCACAATGGAGATGTTACTGGTGCCCAGTAGAGCAAATGGATGAACAACGAGAGGATAGTGCTACATATGTGTGTGTGTGTGTATAGACAAAGTGCGACAGTGCTACATATGAATGTGTGTGTGTATATATATAAAGTTTTATGTATATATATATATATTAAGCCATCAGTTTAGTTTTAGAAATTCACTATTCCAACACCAATCCCACCTTCCCACCACCATTATTTCCAATTTTCCCAACCACCCTTTAAGCCTTCCCCTATAGCGGGCCCTCAGTAATATATTTTACAGTCCTATTATAAATAATTTGCTAAAAGTTGTGTCTCATCATGGAGCCATTAAGCGCTTGTATAAGATTATTAAGATGATGTTACAGGTTGAACCTCCAGTGTTTATATTTTGTTAATTGAAATTTGTTGCCTTCTACATTACATCCATCCAATCTGGTATGCTGCTCCTGGTTTATCAGTGTTGTAGAGTTTGAGATGTTGCACAGCTGCAAATGCACCTGCATACTCCAGGGTGTCCAAAATTTTTAATGGGCGGTACAACTGGAATTAAATTTTTCAATGTGCTTGACTGCCAGGGCTTCTGAAAGTACAGGGAGATGTAGAGAGGTAGCCCATCCCCAGCTCTGTGGAAGTCTGGAGATTTCAGTCACAACACCTGCATATCTGAGGTGTTAATTAATTTAGATTAATTTCTGAATGAGGCTTGTCCAAGCAGTGGGGTCTGACCAGGAGCATGGCGGCAATTATGGAATGTAGAGGTTTTGGGCAGCCAGGACTCTGTTTGGGCGGGCACTGGGTTCACAAGCCCCACTCAGCCTTGCACTGGGTCTGGGAGAAATTCTTCCACTTGTTGATCTCTTTTGAGATCTATTAATGAGTCTCTGGCTCATTTTAGTAATCTCTTAGTAATCTTGTCATGGCCAGTGAATGAGCTTATCTGGCACCAGAGTCAGTTCATGGGCATCACAGGGATCATTCTCAATGGTGCTCAGGAGACCCATACGTGTTGCCAGTAATTGAACCCAGGTCAGCTGCAAGCAAGGTCGGTCCCTTTCCTGCTGTACTTATCTCCCTCCCACTATCGATAGATCTGGCATGCACCAGACCCAGCACCACACCCCACAAGCATTGCTGGGTGAAGTGCTTGCTGCAGGTCCCTAGTACCCCTGGGATAGCCCAGGTTTCCCTGGCACCGCAAGGTCCAAGCAGCATCACCATATCCTCTGAACTTGCACTGAGTTGACAACCCAACTGACTGAGAATCACTGGTGGGACCCCTGAACGTCCTGAGCACTGCTTGGGAATCCCCACAAAAAAAGAATCCAGAATCTCTTCTCCACCCCTGCCTCCTCCCCCACCCTACCCCAACCCCACTTTGGTGAAACAAGTGCTCCATTGCTGAGCTACATCCTCAGCCCCAGAAAACCTTGGGGTCAGTATACAGTTCAAATGGTAGAGCACAGGTGTTACATGTATGAAACCCTTTATTTAATCTTGCCACGTACCCCCCTCTCTTAAACACCATTCAGTGTGTCTCTCCGATCCTCTGCATAGGTAGGTCTGGTCCTTGCAACAACAACAGCAGCAACTATCACTAAATAAGTAAATGTTTATTTTTTTGTTTTATATTTTAAGAAGTTGAACACCTTCAATGAGATAATGATATCTCATTATCTCATTCCTACTCTGGACAAACTTGCAGGCTATCGAATATAGCCTGCCCACAGGGCAGAGTCTGGCAAACTCCCCGTGGCGCACCAAATATGCCAAATACCAGTAACAATGATGGGTCTCATTCTCCTAAAAAGCCTTGAATATAATCTCAGGGCTAGGATGAAAGAGACGTTACTGGGGCCTGCTCGAGGCAATCGACGATTAACAGGATGATGAATGAATGAAAATGATGAATGAACACCTTCATATCATAAGTTAACAAGTTGAAGCTACATTCTGGGCTACAGAGCCAGGGCTAGAATGCATGCTTGACTGTTTGACACCCTCAGTTGAACCCCAGCACCCCAAAAATCAAAAACTCAAAAAAGTAACTGCTTTCTGTCTTTAATGTTACTGGTGTTTTTGTTCTTTGTTTCCATGTACCACTAACCTGATAATAATATAAATAACTTCACTTTTTTGCATTTTTGTCGTTTTATAGATAATAAAGAACGAACAGCTGATCAGCCTTTGGGTAAGTGAAACTCTAACATGTGTCCTCAACACATGTAATTGTATATAACTCTTATAGTATCTACTCCTGGCTTTCAGACAATTTAATTTGACAGTTTTTATAAAACATTTGAATAACACTGACACCAAGTGTTTGGTGTGAGATATGTGAAAAAGAAAGTCTAGAACAGGAAGGAGGCTTGAAAAAAAAAGGAGAGTATAAATCCAATTTCTAGAACTGTGACAGTGTCCATGGCACAATCTTTGTTTTGACAACATGGGAACAAATAAATACGTAAACAAAAAAGGAAAATGTGTGTTACATCATAGAGGCTGATCCTCTTTCCTTGTGGGGTTAATAATTAGAAAAATGCCAGGACAGTTGCAGCTCTGGATCTTGAAAGGTGATCTGAGAGAGAGGCCTTCTCGACAGAGGGGCCTGGCACCCTAAGTGCAAGCAGAAGAGAAGTGAGTTGTGTGTAGCATCGGGAATGGCAGGGCCATAGGTTCCCATTTTCTGATTTAGGGTAAGTGAAACATGATTCTTGGGAAGACCATCTTATTCCGATAGAGCCAGATGACTTTGTTTAGGACAAAAGAAACTATTGCAATAGTCCAAGTAAGAATGAAGAAGAATGCAAAAGAGACAGCAAAATCAGATCTTTAGGGAGTGGGATCAGTAATAACCTGCATCACCTTGCCTATGGTATGAAACTAGAGAGGGCCCAGGTTCCATCCCAAACTTCATGTGGGTCCTGCAAGCATGGCTAGGAGTAACACCCCTAGCACAGAGCCAGGAGTAACCCCTGAGCATGCCAGGTGTGCCTGACCATCCCCAATCACGAAAAAACTAGAAAGAAATAATGTTCAGAGGATAAGAAAGAGCTAGGGAAAGGCACAGTGCCTGTGCTAAGTCTTCCTTGGACCCTGCACCTCCCCCCACCCCCGGGTGGGTAACGATTCACTGGGTTGAACTTGAGAGTGCAGGATCCTAAGCGAAGGTCAGAGTATAAATGAGCACCAGGCTGGCACCTAACCCACTTGAGGTATTTCTGTCCCCTCTGGGCGTAGCTCTGCAGCAGGCAGTCATCCAGGCAGCTGGAACACTAAGGAGAAGTATAGATTGGAGAGTTCTGAGCCTTACACAAGAGGCGGAAGTTCTTTGAAGCCATGGGGTAGCTTAAAGGACATGGCTGTGGGCCCCCCCCCCATAGGAAAATGGCGTAGGGGCCAGAGAGATGGTTCAGTGGGTAAGGCACTTGCCTTATATGCTGCCAACCCAGGTTTGATCCCCAGCCTCCCATATGATTTCCTTGGCACCTCTAGGAGTGATCTCTGAGCGCAGAGTCAGGAGTAATAACCTCTGAGCATTACTGGGTATGACTCAAAAGAAAAACTTACCAGTCGGGTGGGGTGGGGTGTGGTGGGGGTCGCCCATTCTTGTGGTAGTCTTAGTAACTAGGACCAGTTGCCAGGAGAGACAGTATCTCTCTTCCCCCTCCTTCCCTGTGGGGTTTTGCCATGCTGTCACTGAACTTTCCTAGGTAACTAGACAGATTCCCACAGAGGACCCAGAACCAGCAAAGTGTCCTACTACATGAATTTCAAAGGCAGCCCACATTCAGGGGTGGTTGCTGAGGGCTGGGGTGCCAGTGGCTGCCCTACGTGATGGCAGGGACATGTGCCCATCGAGGACCCTTTTTCTGCAGCAGAAGACAGAGGCATAGACCATAGTCACACATCAATGCTTTGTATGCCAGACCAAAGAACGTGGACTTGACTCTGTAGGTCATAGAGTGCCCAAGACCAGTAAGCACTGTCCATTCAACAATTCAGATGTGTTGCGAAGGTGAAAATCATGACCAGTTTAAGATATATATCTGAATTAATGAGGTTAAAATAACTGAGTTTAAGACATGTAACTGAATTAATTGATAATATTCCACCATAAACCCACTCTGATTTACACTGCCTTATAAATGGAATAGCTTTGGGATTTGGGCCCTCACAGGAGACTCTAAGGCCAAGGCTCCCAGCAGATGGGACTTGAGGTGTCGCTCTGGTGTGGGGTCTGCATTTCTGATAGGGTTGAACAGCTCATTTTAAAATGCACTCATTTAAAGATTTGTTAGTGACAGACACTTCCATAGCATTTCCTATGTGCTGGGTGCTTGTCCAGGTGCCTGTGAGTATTCATTCATTTTCGATGAGATAATTTAGAATAATTTGATGTGGAATTAACATTGCAGTACCATCCCAGTTTGCATTAAACTTTGGAAGATACCTTTGGAGGCTCTGTGGAAGGGACATGTGGAAATATTTCATTGAAGTAGTTTTATTACTCTGTTGCCTAATCAACTGGCTTTTGTTTGTTTCATTTCTTCTAGAAAACAGTTTGTTTCGAGAAATCATAGGTGGCTTTTCTCTAAGTGTTTTTCTACAGAAAATATCTAATTCAATAAAATTCAGCTTTAAACTTTAACATTTTCTTTGGCTCCTTACCATTATCTCAGCTCCAGCTTGTCTCATTTCTTTCTCTGCAGTCTGACTCATTCTTCCTCTTTCTACCCCTCACTTCCCAGCTGAGTTTGTGCCTCTCTTGCTCCAAACATTGCGGTGGGGTTCTCTGGTCCAGCCCTTCCAGGCCTGCTCCCTGTGCAAGGTAAGGTTAACACACGCTTCTTCAAACATTGTGATCCAGAATGCTCCAAGGCATGAAGGAACTGACAATTACAACCATCATTGGAGGAAAGATTTTGAGGGTTTATGGTCAGTTACTGGCACATGCCTTTAAAGGCACATAGTCAAATCGATGATTCTTGCCTTATGTAAACCACACCAAGTTTTCTTTCTAGAGAACAAGACTAGTTAATATAAGACTGAGATTAGTAGAAACATGGCTGGATGCTTACTTGATAACTGTTTTTTCCACCCCGGTGTTGTTTGATTTATTTTTTTCAGTTGCATGCTTGTACTTTTTTTCTGCCAATGAAACTGAGTTTGGAAGATATATATCTGAATTAATTAGTAATATTGCACCATAAACCCACTCTGATTTAACACTGTCTTACAAATGGAATAGCTGTGGGATTTGGGCTCTCATAGGAGACTCTCAGACCAAGGTTCCCAGCAGATGGGATTCGGTATGCCACTCTGGTGTCAGGTCTGCATTCTGATAGGGCTGAGGAGCTCATTTAAAAATGTGCCGAGGTGGGGCTGGAGCGATAGCACAGCGGGTAGGGCGTTTGCCTTGCACGCAGCCAACATGGCCGACACAGGTTCGATCCCCAGCACCCCATATGGTCCCCTGAGCACTGCCAGGAGCAATTCCTGAGTGCATGAGCCAGGAGTAACCCCTGAGCATCGCCGGGTGTGACCCAAAAAGCAAAAAAAATAAAGAAAGTACAAACCAACATTAAAAAAAAAAAAATGTGCCGAGGTGGCTGATAATTCGGCAGGTAGGGCACGTCCCTTGCATGTGGCGACCCAGAGAATTGATCCCCAGTAGCCCATATGGTCCCCATGCACCACCAGAAGTGATTCCTGTGTGTGCAGCCAGGAGTAATCCGTGAGCACCACTGGATGTGACCCAAAAAGACAAATTATATTAAATTAAAATACCCTGAGGGATTGGAGCAATAATACAGCAGGTAGGGTTCTTGCCTTGCACGCGGCCAACCCGAGTTTAGTCTTTGGCATCCTATATGGTCCCCCAAGCACCACCAGTAGTAATTATTGAGTGCAGAGCCAGGAGTAACCCCTGAGAATCCCCAGGTGTTACCCAAAACCAAATAACAATAATAATAATAATTGGCCTTTTTTAATGAAGACATCATTTGTACAGAGCTTAAAGTAACATTGAATTGGAAATGACTTAAGTAGCATTTAATTAATTTTTTTCTAAAGACATTATTATTTAGGGGCCCATGAGAGCACTCAGTAGACTGTTTCCTTTGCATCATAGTCCTTGCTACCATATATGGCCACTTGAGCACTACCAGGAGTAACTCTCAAGCATAAAGCCAAAAGTAGCCCCTAAGCATTGCTGGGTATGCCCTAATTTTTTTTAATTCATATACTCATAGGAATAAGCAGTTTTCAAAGAAACACTGGAAACTTAGATGCAAAACAAAACACTAAGGCAAAAAAAAAAACAACTAGAGCTCTTCATCCTATGGTGTTTTCTGCCATGTTCAGTTTCATTCTTTGAATCTTGTGCTAGTTTCCATTCCAAATCTTAAATTTAATGCTTGACATAGTGCTTAGTGGACAAAGCAAAAATTACACCGAAGAAATTGGGATGACATTCAACCATCATAATGATAGGAAACACCTGAAATTCTCTTGCATGCTGCAGACAGTAAGTACGGGGGTTATTTGTGCCTATCTTGATTGCATAAGAGTACAGAGTAATTTATAAATAATCTACTTAGCACTTTGTGACACAGGCCGGCTGCCATGTCCTGGCCTGGGTCAGAAGAAGGTGGCCTGCAACTCTACCCAGTGCGGCCTTGGGCCAGCTCCTCTTGTTACTTACCCCTCTCTCCTGCCCCCTGCCTCTCTGTCATGGGGTTTACTAAGACCTGGCCTTCATACCCCCACTACCCTGCAGTAATGCTGTCAACTGATGATAAAAGAATAAAATTATCATCTTATTCTCAGCTGCTCAGCTGCTCGTGCAGTCTTCAAATATCCTTAGGGAGCCATATCTAACCCAAATGGGGAGCTGTTCAATTTAATTTGATTTGATCATTTGATCACTTGATATCCTGTTACTCATCGATTAGCCTCAGCAGGCACCAGTAACGTCTCCATTCATCCCTGTTCGTATTCCTAATTTAATTTAATTTTGAGAATTTGGAGGCCACCTCCAGTAGGACTCAGGGGTAACTCCTAACTCTGTTCTCAGGAATCACTCCTGTGGTGCTCAGGAGACCATAAACAATGCTGGAGATCAGACCAGACCACATGCAAGGCTGACCTTGGCATTTCCCAGAAGCTATTTGTTGCTTGGTGCACAGGACAGCAAATGGGACCATGTGGGACCAAGGGTTGAAACCAGGGTTAGCAGAATGCAAGGCAATTGCCCTAACCCCTGAGATTCTCTGGCCCCCTAAGGGTCAACTATGAAAAGAATGTGATGAGTAAGCAGATTAGTGTTACAGCTTTTTTAGAATTTGTCTAGCAAATTTCTGGTTGCTACCAGAAAGCCTCCCTCGATCCCTCCCCCCACCATCGAAAAAAAGGGTAAGAAAATTCAAGCAGGAAGTTTACCCCCTGCACTCTTTTCTCCAGGCCAGGAAATTGGTTTTGTTTGTGTGTTTGTTCTTTTTTCTTTTTGAGTTTTTGGTTTGGGGGAGTTGGGTTTTTGGGTTTTTATTAGTTTTGTTGCTTTGGATCATGCCCGGTGATGTACAGGTATAATACTCCTGGTTCTGCACTCAGGAATTATTCCTGATGGTGCTTAGGGGACCATATGGAATGTCAGGAATTGAACCCAGGTTGACCACATGCAAGGCAAATACCCTACCCTCTGTGCTACTACTCCAGCCCCAGGAAATTGTTTTTAAAAAAACTAAGAAGAGATAGTGGATCAATGAAAATAGTAAGACCCAGAACTGTTACATTCCTGCTTTCTCTCCTTTATGCTCTCTCTTTAACCCTTACTTGTTCTGTTGCAAATTCTTTCCATCCCTCTGATAGGTTTTTGTTATTTAGACTTTTCTATTATCAGCAGAGCAGAGCCTAATTTGATGGAGAGTCAGTATCAGACATGCCTTTTTAACTTTGCTCTAAAGTCTTGTTAGATCTCTAGTCTTACAATTCAGGAAAAGTATTGCACTGATATGAGATAGCATTACGTTTCATTTTCAGCTAATCACAGTGACCTTGGCCAGGTTCAAAAGAGCCTCAGTATCATCTGGGATTTGCGAGCCTCCCTTCCTCCCTGGATACATTGGCCTGCTACAGTTAATCATAGTTCTAGGTTAAATCAAGCAATAGTGAAGTCTTCTGTGTAAAACACCATGTGTGATGGTGTTTGTCTTCATCTTTATACCCTCCTATAAATTTCCTCCCTTATTTTAACAGCAAAGGACAAGGTTGCTCTTCTGATAGGAAATATGAACTACCAGGAGCACCCGAAGCTCAAAGCTCCTTTGGTGGATGTGTATGAATTGACCAACTTGTTGAGACAGCTGGACTTCAAAGTGGTGTCCCTCTTGGACCTTACTGAGAACGAGATGTGCAATGCCGTGAATGAGTTTTTACTGCTTTTAGACAAGGGAGTCTATGGTAAGAGATTGTAAAATTTTGTCTTTATTATTGTTCTTCTTCTTTTCTTTATTATTACTCTTATCTTACTTTTAAGATATGAGTAAAAAACCAGAAATAATCCACAAGAAAGTTTTTAATTTCCCCTGAACCCTGTCAGGACTGATCCCTGGGTTTAGAGCCAGGAGTAAGCCCTTAGCACCACCAAGTATACCCCGAAATTTTTTTAAAAACTAAACCCCCAGAGAAAACCAGACACTATTCAAGAGTTTTATACTTGTAAAAAAAATAATAGGCTTTATCTTCATGCTTTGTTTCCTATAAATAACTGATGCATGTAATGTTTTTTATGTCACATCTTTTGTTTTGTCAAAACTGTCCTGTTCTCAATTAGAAACCTTTCCTATATTAACTTATTTTTTTTTTACTGATTATAAGAGCTACAGTTAAATTCAGTGATCAAATAGCAAATTGTATACTCATGTATGTAAAAATACTGCTTGATCTGTGTGTTGGTTTGGAGTATGAAAGTTTCTCACCAGATGTACATTTTATACATTTCCCTTTGCTAACGTGAAATATTTTACTCTGCTAGGGGTAACTAAAATTTTACAAGGAAATTTCAGAGAATAAGACATATGTGAACAATTTATGAACTAAAGTTCCTATACAGATCAAGTTAAGGATAGACTTTCTCCCAAATTCTGACAGTATTTTGTTTCTAGTTCTCTCATTCTTTCACTTAAATCTGATGTGAGAATGGGATCTGAGGTAGAGCCATTAAACAGGCAGACTGCTATCAGTAGAAGTTAGTTACTACCCTCCTGTAAGTTAGTTCGTTGCTAAGCCTAACCCTAACCCTAATTCCTTGAGTTATTCATTTCTTTTCATGGGAAGTTTGGGAAGGTCAGCTGTTGGCTCAGCTGCACAAAGTATTGTACAATGATGTTTGGCTGCCAGGAAAGTGACATTTCCAGGCCTGTTAGGATACCAGTGATAAACAGAGTGTCTATTTGGCTTCTGTCTGATTCAAATTATTTTACATCAATAATCCTAAATCAGGCTCCCTGTAATTAGATGGCTAGGATGAAGCACACTGGTTAAGTTGCTAATGATTGCAAAGAATTTTTAATGAAAGAAAAAGTTTTTTTTCCCAAGATTAACATATTACTATATTAAATGAGTTTCCTCTTCAGTGATAGGAATTAGAGTGTAACACAAATGAATCAGCAAAATCCATGCCTGAAGTGTGGAATATCAGTTAGGATGCTGATGTTATAGTATCAGAATCTTGCTTTTGACTTTATTTTTATGGTCCATTGAATTGTCTCGTGAAAATATGAGATACTGGACTATCTTCTGTTGTATGCAATGTTGAGAATTGGTTTGTGTTTTTAGTCTAGAAAAAGGTGAACTGTTTGACTGCTTTTACATTATGTAATTTTTTTTGCTGCCTTTAAACACGGTGACATCAGCATGTACCGTTGGTGACTCACACTTGTATGTGGCTTAATTAACACAAACTGGAGCACTGGTGTCAATGTCTTATTAAAAGCGAACTGTTTAATCTTTTGAAATTTAAATTCTCATCTATAAAATCAGGATAGATATCATTAAACTGGTAGGTAGATTAAAATCAGGGCCTGTACCTGGAAGTGCTTTGAAAGCTGAAAATGTGATACAAATATGAAAGGTTCATGTCTTCATTCTGGCCATTTTCTTTTTAAAGCAGAGAAATGGAATAAATGGGGAGGTGTAAAACATCAGTAGGGACATGAGTAGTTGTCCATTCCACAGGTGCCGCTCCCAGCTCACACTACAAGAGGAAGCAGGGAGGCAGGCGACAGAGAACTGGCTGAGGGCCTGGAACTTCAGGCTGCCTTGGGGGATTGGTTAAGATTTGGCTTGACTGAATATTGAGTGAATTAACAGGATCATGGAGAGCTCAGCACAAGCATATCATGCTCTTGCAGCCTTTAAAGATCGATGGGGAAATAGAACCATATGTTGAATGCTGGACAGGAGGACCAGTTTCACTCTGTAAAAATCTGCAATTCAGTGGGGTTTTGTACATTCACAAAATTGTGGGACAGTCACGTAGTTGCAGAACTTTTTCATCACCCCAAAAAGAAGTTCCATGTCTCCTCGCTGTCCCTCTTCATTCCTTCCCACCCTAAGAGGCAACCCCAGATCCTCTTCCATCTCTCTGGATTTGTGTGTTGGGAGCATTTCATATAAATGATCTCAAAAAAATATCACTTCGTTGAATGCCCATCATTACATGTGGTCCCAGGACTACTGCCCAGGGTCACTCCTGAGCACAGATACAGGAATGACCCCTAAGCACTGCTGGGTGTGGTCCCAGCTGGCCTTCCCCACAAAAGAGCACTCTGTTTATGACCTTATGTGTTGTTTCTGCTACTTAGTCTAGTATCTTCATGACTTGGGCCTTTTTATAATGCAATAATCTTTCCCTCCACCATACACCACATTTGTGTACCCATTCACCAGCAGCCTTCAAGTTCCCTCTGTTTTGGGGGAGGAAGACTCCCACCATGTGCGTATTTATGTACAGTTCTAATGTGGCTGCATTTTCAGGTCTCCTGGTTACGTACTTTCAAGGGGAATTGCTGGGTCATACAAGAATCTTCAGTGTCACTGTTTTGAGATAACAACTCTTTCCAAAGCGCCTTCTCTGCGTGTCTTCCCACCAGAAGTGAGGTTTCCAGTTTCTCTCCATTCTTGCTGCCCTCATTATTGCCTGTCTGAGTCACACCATCCCACTAAGTAGCTCATTGTTTGGCATTTCCCTAAAGGTCAGGGCTGCTGAGCATATTTTCATAGACTTTTGCGCCACTTGTATGCCCTCTGAAGAAATGTATCTTCAAATCATTTGCCTGTTTCAGGGTGTGTGTGTGTGTGTGTGTGTGTGTGTGTTGTTTTTTGTTGTTGAACTGAAGATCTTCATATCCATCCATATATTATTAGTATTTAATGTCATGTATATTAAAATATCCTAGATGCAAGTTGTCCTTATAGTTAAAAGATTAGCAAATATTGAGCCGGAGTGATAGTACCCAGTGGATAGAGTTGAGTGAGCTGCGGGATTCTTGGGGCCAGAGCCCACAATGAATAACAGGGGAAGTTATTGGGATTTCGTTGTGGCAGAAGGTGTCTGATGGACCTCCAGGGGAGATCAGGGGAGCACTCCCGGAGATACTCTGCAGATGTAAGAATTCAGTGCTCAACTGGGTGAGGTGGTACTGCTTGAACCCTGTGGTGGCAGTGGCCCATTCAGCCACACACAGTGGTGAGCAGGAAGTGTCAAAGCAGGGACCTTGGGACCTGTGCGTAGTGGCATGCTTACCACCCTTTGGAGCAGCCTCCCCCTACCCATTTTGTCGTTTGGAGACTGAAATGTTGCATACAACTTTTCTCATTTTGAAAGTTTCAAAAAAGTAGAAGACCTGGGTCACACTCTCTAAAACCAAATGGAGCAAGTTTTCTTTGGTGTTCAAAGCCAAGTTTTCCTCTAGGAGCTGGGCCCCTCATCACAAAGGATTCTCTTTGGTCATTGTTGCTGTCTAAATGCCTTTTTCTCATGAACTTTCACTTACCAACAAAAGAAGCTGTTGCCTCCAGAGTTTCTGAGAAACCAGAATTCTGCATCTATGTAGGAAGGCCTGTACTGAACTTTGGGTTATGTGGTTTGGGTTTTTTTTTTTTTTACAATCAAAGCAAATTACAAGAAAATGTTTAGTTATGGTTGTTTGCTGCAACTTAGTGTCATTCCCAGTCAAGAAATGACTCGCCTCTCAACTACTAAAATGAACCCAGATTTTAGATGACAAATTTAAGAGACTCTGGATGTAAAATGAGTAATATTTATGGCTCATAAAGAGAACTCATGATTCAGGAACTCAGATTTCCCCTCCTAGATAAAGCTTTATTTATATGTCTGTTACCTTCCTGAGACTTGGTACAATGTCCTTGGGAGTTTCTTGTTCCTTGATACTGCAGTGGTTATTTATCTATAGTGTGTGCATTTGTTCCTCCACTTAATGCTCCGCTCCTGCCGTGTGCCAGGTGTGCATGGACACACAGGAGAATGCCCTGCAGGAAATCCTGGTCTCACAGTGAGGACAAATGAGTCAGCAACAAGTGGAGAGCCTTGGGCTTGGTTTTTCGAGCCCATGTCCTTGAACATGTATCTCTCTCTCTCTTTCTGCTTTCTCGTGGTGGAGCAGCCTGGGTTCTCTCTTAAACACACATTCTTCTCTTTCTCCGCCCCCCCATCTCCCCACGTCTTTTCAGTAAGTTTTGTTCAATTAAAAAGATCTTGTTTCAGGGGCACAGCGTGCTGTACAGTGGAGAGGGTGCTTGCCTTGTACACAGCTGACCCAGCTTCAATCCATGGCACCCTACATGATCCCCTGAGCCAACCAGAAGTGATCCCTAAGCATGGTCCAAAACAAAAAACAAAACAGAAAAATCTGCTTCACTAAAAGAAAAAAAAGCAGGAGGGCAAAATGATAGTATACAGCAGGTAGGGCGTTTGCCTTGCATGTGGCTGACCCGGGTTCGGTCCCCGGCATCCCATATAGTCACCAAAGCACTGCCAGGAGTGATTCCTGAGTGCAGAGCCAGGAGTAACCCCTGAGCATCACCAGGTGTGACCCAAGAAGCCAAAAAAATTAAAGTGAATTCTTGGTCTGGTTCAAGCAAATGCGACAAAACTGCATTCCTTCGAATAGTACACATACAAGTGAACTACCTTAGGAATTCAGGTTGACTACTGGAACATAGGAACTGGTCTCCAGTGGGCAGATGAGCACCAGGGAGAGAAGGGAACACCATGACAGTGGTGGAGAGGAGGAAAGGGGGTCCTGAAAGGTGGTAAAGAGTTATTCAGGAATCCCTATCATAATTGCACTGATATTACTATCAGTAATATTACTATCAGTAATAGTACCACAGAGCCTATAAAATAAACAAATGTGCCTCTCAAGGAGGAAGACTTTATAGTTGGGAGGGAAACTGAAAATGGTGATAAAGGAAAGTTAACACTTTGAAGGGATTGGTATTCAGGGACCGTAGAGATGGCACAAGGGTTCAGAAGCTTGTTTTACATGTTGTCGACCCTGGTTCTATTCTTGACACTGTCTCCCAGCTCTGATCCCTGAGCACAGAGCCACGAGTAAGCACTAAGAAACACTGGGTATACACCCACCCCCCAAAATAGACCAAAAATTACTTCAATGAGTAGTACACTAAGTACCTCTCAATGCAAATTTAGTTAACACAGACTGTAACTGGCTATCCTTTACCTAAGTTTGCACCAACTTGGAGAAAATAAGCATTTTTTAAGAGCTGTAAACAGGCTCTGAGTACAACTTAGAATTAACATTTGTCTTTTTTTTTCCATTCCAGGGTTATTATATTATGCAGGACATGGTTATGAAAATTTTGGGAACAGTTTTATGGTCCCTATTGATGCTCCAAATCCATATAGGTCTGAAAACTGTCTGTGTGTGCAAAAAATACTGAAATTTATGCAAGAAAAAGAAACGGGACTCAATGTGTTCTTACTGGATATGTGCAGGAAAAGGTAAAAGGGCTCTTCTTCACTAAACCAAGCATGTTGGAATTAAAATTGAAACTTTGGGCTGGAGTGATAATACAGTGGGTAGGGCATTTGCCTTGCAAGCGGCCAACCCGGGTTCAATTCCCAACATTCCCATATGATCCCGTGAGGCACCATCAGGATAATTCCTGAGTGCAAAGCCAGGAGTATCTCCTGTGTATCTCCGGGAGTGACCCAAAAAGTTGAGTTGAAGGCCCTCCCGTTGATCGTCGATTTGCTCGAGCGGGCCCAGTAACGTCTCCATTGGAGACTTTGTTGTTACTGTGTCTGGCATATCGAATACTCTCGGTAGCTTGCCGGGCTCTCCGAGAGGGGTGGAGGAATCGAACTCGGGTCTGCCATGTTGGCCGCTTGTAAGGCGAACGCCCTACAAAAAAAAAAAAGTAAAATTGAAACCTTGACAGATGAAAACCTAGGCACAGAGTCCTGAGGGCATCATGGTGGGAAGATGCGGTCTGCAGTCAGGCACGGGGGTTTCTGGGGACCCTAAGGCAGTGGTAGAAGGAAGCAGACTCTCTAGTGGAGGATGTTCAGTTGGAACGGTTGTATGCAAGAACCCCCATCGTGAACATTGTAAATCACGTTGACTAAAATAAATGTAGGGGGGGAATTAAAAGGACCATCTGAGACTTTAGATTTCAGTCTATAGGTTATCGACAGAAACTGTCCCAGAAGAAAACTAAAGGAAGATAGATTTTTGCCAGTATGTGTTTCATACACATTGCATGTAGGAGGTTAGCTTTGCTCCCTATTTGCCGTAAGGCATTAAAGGGCACATAGTTATTGCAAATGCCAGAGCTTCAGAGTGTCTCTTGGTGTCTCTCCTCGTTAGGCTTCCTAGAAACAAAACCCAGGCTTTGGGCTTCCCGTGACGCTAGCCGAGCTGGGACAGCCACACCAGCTGTTTGAAGCCTCTTGTCGGCCTTTGTGTTCCAGGGAGGACAGCTGGTGATCGTTCTTAGCTTTACAGATTCCGTTAGCTTTTACTGCTCAGAACCCAATGCTAGTGTGCTCCATCTCACAAGAAAAAAGATGGACACTCTTGCTTTTTTCACTGGGCAGGAGGTCTGCTGTGCCTCTCACTGGATAAAGGAATTTTGACCCTGTGATTTTTAAATGATGCTTCATAGTCTTAGATTCTGTTTTTTTATTGTACTGTGGTCGACGCTTTTTTTAAAGGATGCTTGTTTAACTTTTCATAACTGTCTGTTCTCCATCCTGCCTTTCACATAGAAATGACTACGATGATACCATTCCCATCTTGGATGCTCTGAAAGTTACCGCTAACATTGTGTTTGGATACGCCACGTAAGGAAGTTTTATGGCCTGTGGAAGGTTCTTTTGTGCTCTGTGACATCTTTGTGATCAGAAACCAGAAGTCCAGAAATAGCCATAGACATCAAGGCACAAATGTGCCTCCTTATACTCTTGGTAGAAACTGCTAAGGAGTTGACAATGAGTCTGCATGTCTTGGCTTCTCTTCACCAGGCATTTTGTTCTGATTAAAGAGGAGCTCCTGGGGCTGGAGCAGTAGTACAGCGGGTAGGGCGTTTGCATGCAGCCAACCTGCATTCAATCCCTAGCATCCCATGTGGGCCCCTGAGCACCTCAGGAGCAATTCCTGAGTGCAGAGCTAAGAGTAACCCTTGAGCGTTGCTGGGTGTGACCCAAAAAACAACAACAACAAAAATTTAGAAAATAAAGAGGAGCTCCTGAATCGGGGGCGTGGGGAGTGGTCCTTGAAAGGAAGGGTGTGGGTGAGGCTCATCGGTATGTATGGGTCCCCTGGGTGGCATGTGCTTGCTTTGTAACATTTCTCTTTCCTTTTCGCCCCATCAAAGGTGTCAGGGAGCAGAAGCTTTTGAAATTCAGCATTCTGGATTGGCAAATGGAATCTTCATGAAATTTTTAAAAGATCGGTTATTAGAAGACAAGAAAATCACTGTACTGCTAGATGAAGTTGCAGAAGGTAAAGTGAGGAGAAAGCTCCTGAGGTCCCCTGTTCAGTGGTTACTTCGGTCTCTGTTGTTACTATGAAGATTTGGAACTAGTATTTGGTGGTTAGGACTTACGGCACTGTGCTCAGGGCTCATTTCTGGCCGGGTCCCGGAGACCAGGGTTGGCTGCCTGTCAGGTGAGTGTCTCACCTATTGTACTCTCTCTCAGGCCCCTGGAGCCACTGTTTTTCAGATGACAGATGTTTCATGTTCTGATGCTGTCCCTCCACGTTCAGTGAGCTGTGTGCCGTTTCAGCTGCGTTACTTGAACTCCAAGTTAGGGCTGGGCACAACTGTAAAATCAATGTAGTGTAATCTTCCCAGCCCTTTTTCGTCTTGAGAAGTTTGTAATTTGTTTTCAAATAACAGTACACCTTTTATGGAGTCTCATAGGTTACATTTCTGTGAAAATGATGAGGAAGGGCATTTTCCCCTTGAAGTAATGTTGGTTTTCAAGACTCCTATGTGTTGGGGTACAAATCCACAACTCTTCAAAGTTTCTTACCATACCCACCATCTGAGCGCATCCTCCACCCTGCAGCCCCCCCGGCCCACCCCCTCTGTCAGCCTCACCTGTGTAGAGAAGCTGCATCTTCACTCACTCGTCTGTGGCACTTGGGTTGGCTCTAGTCTCCTGGCTGTTGTCCTGGCAGTAGCCTGGGCATATTTTCTCAGATTGTGTGTGTGTGTGTGTCTGTGTCTGTCTGTCTGTCTGTCTGTCTGTGTCTGTGTTTCTGTGTATATGTCCGTGTTCTTCAGAGCCTCTGAGGAGGGGGTTCCTGCATCATCTAGTATATCTCTTTAGAATACTTTGGGGAACAGCTATACTGTTTTTCAGAAGTTGAACCTATTTGTCTCGCTGTGTGTGAGGGTCCCGCTACCGCCTGCCTGCACTGCTGGTTACTGGCCTTTTCCGTACAGGCCATTCTCACAGAAATGAGATGATGCCTCAGTGTTGTTTTCATTTGCATCCCTGATCATCAGTCATGACGGGCACTTGTTCACGTGCCTGTTTGCCATCTGTCTGTCTTGGCGAGTATCTGGACAGTGTCCCTGCTTTCCCATTCAACAGGCTGCAGGGCTCCGGCAGCCTTCTGCTCCTGCCTCAGCCGGGCGGTTCTGCTTTTATATCTCTGACAAAAGATGCTGCTAACAGAAAATAATTTATGCCTTAGGAGCAGGGCAGCTGCGCTCACACTGAAAATGGTTCAGAGACTTGAAAACATTTCATTCTAATTTCATGATAAAAAATACAAGTGAGGCCACAGGTGATCTATACCAGGTTACGACAGTGATTATCATTCCTGTAGGCACCCCCCCCTTATTTCGGGGATTGTGAAGTTGGGGAGAAATCACACCCAGCAGTGCTCAGCACTGACTCCTGGTTCTACGCTCAAAAATCACTCTTGGCAATGCTCCAAAGACCATATGCAATGCCAGAAATGGAGCTAGGGTCAGCTGCTTGTAAGGCAAGTGCCTTATCCACTCACTATACATTCTCCTTCATGATTTCTTTTTTTTTTGGGGGGGGGGGGGGTTGGAGGTCCACACCTGGCAAGGGATCAAGGTTTATCTGCTCTCAGAAGTCACTCCTGGCAGATATGGACCCTATCGGTTTTCGGGATGGAACCTTGATCTGCCATGTGCAAGGCAAGTGCCTCACTGTACTAATGATTAGGCCCCTTGTAAATTACTATTGTAATCTCTACCATATTTTTTGATATACAACACTATAAGTCATTTCTTAAGTGTATTCAGGGGAAAATAGTATTTAGATATTATAAGTCAAGCAACTGAAAGGGAAAACAACCTTTCTGTTATTAATTTTGTGCAAAGTAAATGAAATAGGAAATAAAATGATTGCATAAGGCTGCAACTGTCCCTCTAGTAGCCAGATTTTGTGTCTTGCACTCCGCTGCACACCCTTGTTATTAAACTGAAATTTCAAAATAAACATTCACCTGTCTCATTTTAACAAGGAAATGGCATTTAATCATATGAAAATCATCTCATATAAGTACCGCTGAGCACATCTGGCAGATTTTATTGTGCGTGGAGATTCATCAGGAACCTCAGACACTGCACAGCTCTGTGTAATGTGTAATGTGTAACCTGTGTAATGTCTTCCTTCATCTCTTCCATCATTCTCCACGTTGTTTGGGTGTTTGGGCTTGGCTTGGGTTTTTGTTTGTTTTAGTATCACGGGTGCTACTCAGGGCTTTCTTTGAACTCGGGAAATACTCCTGATAGTGCTCGGGGGAACACATAGGATGCCAGTGTCAAACTTTGGTCAGCAACATGCAAGGCAAGCACCTTATACACTGTATTATTTCTCAGTTCTTGAGTTATAATTTACCCACAAAAAAACAATGCATTTCTGTTTTCATCATTTACCCTTTATAAAATGAAAATTATGTCCTGCATGCTCTTTAGACTTTTTGTTTTGTTTTTGTTTTGGGTCAATACCTGGTGGTCCTCAGGGCTTACACCCAGCATCCTACCCTGTGCTGTCTCTCCGGTCCCTCTTTGGAATTTTGAATGCTTTCAGTTAATAATTATATCACACAGATTGGTTCATCTGAGCCTTGTCTCAGGCTTCAATTCATTTTGATTGCTACATGTCAGTCTGGTCAGACAGACCCCATGCTGTTCTCCTTTTGACTGCATCTGAGTGACTTCTGGGTTTTGCTGTTTCTGGACAGTGAGCAAGAACATTCTCTCTCTCTTCAGGGGTAGGGTGGTGTACAAGTTGCTCTGGGTTCTAAACCAGGATTTTGGAATTGCCAGGTCAGTTCTCACAGGCATTGACAAACTGTTTTCGCACAGCAGCTGAACCAGTCCACACACCCCCACCCACCTCACATCTGCAGGAGATCATGCGCTCTTTGCTCTCTCCCTCACTCCCTGCATCAAGCTTTTTCTTCCTCCTGCCAATCCGATGATGTTGAACTATCTCACTGTGGCCTCTAGTTCTTTTCTGTTTGTGTTTGAGCAATAGTACAGAGGGTAGGGTGCTTCCTTGCAGATGGCTGAAGCGGGTTCAATCCCCAGCATCCCATATGGCTCCCCGAGCACTACCAGGAGTGATCCCTGAGCATCACCGAGTATGGCCCAGAAACCTAAGTAAAAAACATTTTTAAGCTGAGGGAAGACATACTGTTTTAACTTTCTCATAAGCATGTAGTCATTTCCCGATGGAAGATAGACATGAGATTTTCATGACTGTCCTCCCAGTAAAGTACATTTTCAGCTCTGATGGCAAGGCTTAGAACTAGGGATTTATTCATAGGGTCACAGGAAGATTGTGGAGAATAAAGACTAGAAAGGAACCTTGAGGAGTGAGCTGGACCAGTCCCCTTCTAGTCTGCTCATTGCTGTATCCCTGACACCATGAAGCACCCTGGCACATAGCACCTATAGTATTTATTGAGCACTGTGGGAAAGACCCACAGACGTGAAAGCAGTTGCCTGGCCTTTACCCACTCCAGTACCATCCCTAGACACATGACCCCTGAGACCTGGGTGTGTGTCCCAGAAACATATTTGTTGAGTGAATACATGATGCTGAGACTATAACCTACACAGGCAAATTGATGACCAGAGCACAGATGCCAGCGTGCAAGGATTGCCCTTAAACCAGTTTTCGCTTTTCTTGTAGATATGGGAAAATGTCATCTCACCAAAGGCAGGCAGGCGCTCGAGATCCGGAGCAGTCTGTCTGAGAAGCGGGCGCTCACCGACCCCATCCAGGGGAGCACATGCTCTGCGGAGTCTCTGGTGCGGAACCTGCAGTGGGCCAAGGCGCATGGTGCGGCAGGGTGAGGGGGGCGGGAAGTGGGGTGGGGGTGGGATGGAGAGAGGTGGGTGGGGGGAGGTTCCTTCTACCGTACCATGATACGGAAGACCCCATAAAGAATGTGTTGAGGGGCTAGAGAGATAGGACAGTGGGTAGGGCACTTGTCTTACATGGGGCCCACCCAGGCTCAATCCCGGGCATCCTATATGGGTCTCGATTCCTGAGCACAGAGCCAGGAGTTACCCCTGAGCATCGCCAGGTGTATGTGATTCTTGCTAATCATTAGAAAACTTTACAAATACTCATTAAATAGTGATTTGTATGTTGTTCTGTTGTTTTTTGTTTTGTTTTTCCAGAACTTCCAGAAAGCATGTGTCTTCAATTCCAGTGTGGTGTGCAGATCCAGTTAGGATTTGCTGCAGAGTTTTCCAACGTCATGATCATCTATACAAGTGTAGTCCACAAACCCCCTGATATAGTAATGTGTGACACCTATGTTACCGATTTCCCACATGTAAGTTCCTCCTAGTTTCCTTTTCTTAAAATACAATGATATGGGACCAGGAGGGTATCTTATAGAGCTGGAGCACATGCTTTGCATGCATAAGCCCTGGGTTCAAACCCCAGCACCACCAGATATGGCCTCCCCACCACCCCCAAGAAAGAAAAAAATTGCAATGATGTGCCCTACTTAGTAGAAACTAAATTTTTGGAAATGTAAAGCAGATGGCAAATATAAAGGAAACACACATATATATATATGAATATAAATACTTAAGTGTATTATAGTACAATGGTCAGAATATTTTGAAACTCTTTGCTGAAATACTTGTCAAACAGTTTGCCCAGGAAAGAAGCATAAATTCCTCTTACCCTAAATGGGCCAGCTGATGCGGAACGTTACTTAGATACCCATCATCTAGATTCTCTTGCACAGAGTGATGGTCCGGGAGAGCCAGGAATGTTGCACTCATGGGACTTGAACTTGGAAGGAAGCCTGAGTAGTTTAAGAAGTCTTTCCCTGGGGCCAGAGAGATTGAACAGTGGGTAGGGCACATGCCTTGCACAAGGCTGACTCAGGCTCAATCCCCAGCACCACATATGGTCCCCTGAACCCACCAAGATTGATCCTTGAGCTCAGAGCCAGGAGTAAGTCCTGAGAACAGCCAGGTATGACCCAAAAGCAAATTTGAAAAAAAAAAAAAAGTCTTTCTTTTTGTATGTGAGCATGTGAGAACAGTGAATTTTATCCCTGGCACTACATACACTCACACAATTCACACACATTTTTAGGAATAGTTGGAGAGCGGTTATCCTTTTCAGAACTAACCCTTTAAGTGTATTAGTGCAGAGTATAGGACTCCTATTATTCTAGATATTGTCGTTACATTTTCTGCAGTCCTGTATTACCTGCTTAGGCCCCTATTCATGAGAATCTGATCTGTTCATAGGTTTTTCCATCATAGACAATGCTGGGACTTTCTTTGCTGTCATTAATGACATTTATGATTTTTCCAGGTCCTATATATTGATCCAAAAGACACAAATAAAGGGACGCCTGAAGAAACCGGCAGCTATTTCGTATCCAAGGATCTCCCTAAACATTGCCTCTACACCAGACTCAGCTCGCTGCAGAAACTGAAGGTGACTGGACTGCTTTGCCTCTCAGAATTGCTCGTGGGAAGCTCTGTGAATAGGGCACTGCCTGTGCACTGCACCTTATGTGGGTGCTGAGTGCTTTAATTAGAAAGCAGAACCTTACCCTTGGGTGCTGCTGTGGATCACCCATCTCCAGCGAGGCACCTGCCCTCCCTGTTGTCTTCTGTCTCTGAGAAGGCCCTAGGGATCTTTTGTAATGCTTCTCCATGTTCCTAGAGCCATAGAACCTATTCTACTGTAGAATATCTGATCACTTACAAGTAATCTTTTCTTTGTTCTGAGACTTTTCTTTTTTCTTTTTTGGGTCACACCCATTGATGCACAGGGGTTACTCCTGGCTCTGCACTCAGGAATTACTCCTGGCGGTGCTCAAGGGACCATATGGGATGCTGGGAATCGAACCCGGGTTGGCCGCATGCAAGGCAGAGGCCCTACCCGCTGTGCTATAACCCCCCTTTTTTTTTAGTTCTGAGTCTTTTTGTAAAACAGCCACTTGAATTTGGTATTTCTTATCTTTTTTCATTTCTCGTTGATTTGCAGATCAGAAACTATCGCTGTAAGGTTCTGCTTTCTAATTAAAGCATATTTTTGCCAAGCATAGTTTTTTTTTTCATTTCAGAGTTGCCTGGCCATAGAATGTTTTGGCCAGATGTTCTGAGGAAGTGGGCGCTGTTGACAGTTAAATGAAGACAGAGGGCCCAAAGCCATCTACTCATGGCCAGTCTTGCCTCACTGCTTTATATCTTTAAAGCTGAGTTCATTATATGTCACTTTTTTTCCACATAGGATTTTGAATTATCGTTTTATATACTTTTTTTAAATTTCAGACTTATATTGTTCCAATACCAATTTCTTCACCAGTCCCCACTATGCTTCACCAATGTCTCCAACTTCCCTCCTATTCCCCCAGCCTGCTTCAGTGGCAGACATTCTCCCCCCTCCTCCATTGTTCTAGTGTTTCCTTCCCTAATTGATCCTCCTCACTCTGCCCCAGTGCTGAGCTTCCTACTGAAGACCAGTTTCCCTGCTCTTTGTTTCTATTACCATTGGGCATTTGATAGTCCCCCTACAAGGTTTCTTCATATCCCACATACAAGAGAGATTATGCTGAATGTGTTCCTCTCCCTCTTTTCACTCAGTATCATACTTTTCTGATCCATCCACATTGCAGCAAATAGCATTACTTCATGTTTTCTTAAGGCTGAGTAGTATTCCATTATACGTATATGTACCGCAGTTTCTTTATCCAGTCATCTGTTTATGGACATTTGGGTTGTTTCCATATTTTGGCTAGTGTATATAATGCTGCAGTGAACATCGGAATGCAGGTGTCTTTTCTGATTTGTTCTTTTGGGCCCTTGGTATTTATTCCCAGGAGCAGAATTGCTTGGTCATATGGAAGCTCAATTCCTAGGTTTTTTGAGGAGTATCCATATTGTCTTCCATAAAGGCTTGACGAGTCGACATTCCCACCAGTAGTGAATGAGGGTCACCTTTTCGTCACATCCTCGCCAATACTGGTTATTGTTACTTCTGATGCATGCCAGTCTCTTTCGTGTGAGATGATATCTCATTATTGTTTTGATGTGTATTTTCCTAATGATGAGTGATACAGAGCATTTTTTCATATGCATTTTTGCCATTTGTATTTCTTCTTTGAAGCAGGTCCTGTTTATCTCTCCTCCCCATTTTTTGATAGGGTTGGATTTTTTTTCCCTTGTAAAATTCTTCCTGGTGCCTTGTGTATCTTGTGTATTAACCCTTTGCCGAATGGATGGTGGGCAAGTAATTTCTCCCAGTCTGTGGATTCTGTATTATAGTTATTGTTTCCTCTGAGGTGCAGAAGCGTCTTCGTTAATGTCGTCCTGTTTAATTTTGCTTCTACTTGCTAGGTCAGTGGCATTTTCATCCTTAAAGATGCCTCTAGCTTTAATGTCATCAAGAATTCTTCCTGTATTTTCCTCTTTGTGCTTTTTGAATTCAGGTCTTTAAGCATTTTGATTTTGCTTTTGTACATAATATTATAAAGAGGTTTGAGTACATTATTTTGCATGTGGCTGACGAGTTTTCCCAGCACCATTTTCTGAAGAGGCTTTCCTTGCTGTACATTTTATTTTTTGCTCCTTTATCAAAGACCATATACCTGAGGGTCTGTCTCTGGGTTTTCTATTTTATTGATATGAGTGTCTGTTTTTATTCTAATACCATACTGGGTTTTTTTTTTTCTTTTTGGGTCATACCCAGTGACGCTCAGGGGTTACTCCTGGCTCTGTACTCAGAAATTACTCCTGGTGGTGCTCGGGGGACCATATGGGATGCTGGGAATCGAACCCGGGTTGGCCATGTGCAAGGCATATGCCCTACCCGCTGTGCTATGGCTCCAGCCCCTACCACACTGTTTTAATCACTACTGTTTTATAGTACAGTTTGAAGTTGGGGAAAGTGAGGCCTCCTGTCTTCTTTTTCCCAAGAATTGCTTTAGCTCTTGGGGGTGGTTATTGTCCCATATAAATTTCAGAAGCATTTGATCTATTTCTTTGGAAAATGTGATGGGTGTCCTTTTAGGAAGTGCATTGAATCTGTACAGTGCTTTGGGGAATATTTCCATTTTGATATTAATTCTCCCCATCCTTGAGCATAGAATGTTTTTCTATTACCTTGTCACTGTCACTGTCACTGTCTTCCCGTTGTTCATCGATTTGCTCGAACTGGTCCATTGTGACACTAGTTATTGTGGTTGGCATATTGAATACATCATGGGTAGCTTGCCAGGCTTTGCCGTGCAGGCGAGATACTCTCGGTAGCATGTCGGGCTCTCCAAGATGAGAAGAGGAATTGAACCTGGGTCAGCCAGGTCGGCTGTGTGTAAGGCAAATGCTCTACCTGCTGTGCTATCGCTTATATCCTCTTTTATTTCTTGAAGTAGTGTTCTGTAGGTTTTTTTGTATAGGCCTTTCACTTTTTTAGGTAAGCCACTTCCTAGGTGGTTAATTTTCTGAGACACAATTGTGATTGAGATTTTTTTTAATATAGCTCTCTCTTCTAGTACATTATTTGCATATAGGAAATCCATGTACTTTTCTGTGTTAATTTTGTATTCTGTCACTTTGCTGTACAAATCAGTTGTTTCTGGGAGCTTTTTTGGTAGTCTTTAGGGTTTTCTAAATATAGTATCATGTCATCTGCAAATAGTGAAGGCTTGAAACTGCTAAACTTTCAACCCAAGAGGAAAGCCAGATTATTTTATTAAAGATTCATTTCCTGTCTATAAAAATAGGAAAGGCCAGTGTCTGTTCCTCATTGTTTGGAAATGTTTATTCAAAGTATAGAATGAGGGAACAGGAAGAAGATTGTAGCTGACTTTTTTTAAGTGTGGAGAAGTATAAATGGGGACACCTAGAGGATTTGTTTTTTGGGGGGTCACATCTGTTGATGCTCAGGGGTTACTTCTGGCTCTGTACTCAGGAATTACTCCTGGCAGTGCTCAGGGTACCATATGGGATGTCAGGGATTGAACCCAGCAGGCTGCATGTCCTACCCACTGTACTATCACTCCAGCCCCACCTAGAGGATTTAGAATCCAGAAACCCAGAGTGGGGAGATTCCTGCTGAGGTTTGACATTTGCCTATATTCATACATGTGAATGATTTTAAGATTGCTGTCATTTCTTTTTAATTTTTTATGGTTTATGTTGTGTGCAGTTTTGTTTTTGTTTTTTTGGCTTTTGACCTGTTGGTGCTCTGTACTTACTCTTGACTCTGTGCTCAGAGATCATTCCTGTCAGTGCTCAAGGGACCACGTGGGGTACCAGGAATCGAACCCAGGTTGACCATAAGCAGGGCCTTAGCTGCTGTACTCCTCTCTCTCCAGTCCCCTGTATTGTGCTTTATTTCCCTTCAAAGCTGCCATTTAAGATCGCTGCCATTGCATGGTTGATGGAAACCATGGCGCTTCTCTCCCTCTGCAGGAGCATCTCGTCTTCACCGTGTGTTTGTCGTATCAGTACTCGGGCCTGGAAGACACTGTAGAGGAGAAGCAAGAGGTGAACGTTGGGAAACCCCTCATTGCCAAGCTGGACATCCATCGGGATCTGTCCTCCTTTCACACCTGCTTTACGTGTAGCGACCCATACCCGAGTTCGGCCTCCATGGCAGCGGGATGTTATCAGTCATCGCAGGATCTCTTCTGTGGGGCTTACCAGTCACATCTGGGCAGTCCCAGCCATGTGGTGCCAGCAGACAGCTGCCACTGCAGCCGGACTGCAGGCACCTTCCTGTCCGATCACCCGAGCCACCACTATTCGTGTCAGTTTGGTAGAAGCAATGTGCCCGTGGAGACAACAGACGAAATCCCTTTCGGCTTCTCCGAGCGGCTCAGGGTCTCTGAGAAGTGACCTCCTTGCCTCCTTGTTTTCAAGTGTCAGCCCCATCACTCCTTTTCTCCTATGCACCAAGTTCTCATGTGAAGTAAGGAACAGCCAGGGTGGCCATGCAGCGGTGTCGAGAGTCTGAGAACTCTGTTATTTAACTCAGGTTTTTCCCTCTTCATCTCTCCTGCTTGGGATTCTGTGAACTGGTTTAGTTGTGCTGTAATAATGAAAGGGGGGGGGGGGGGAGAGGGGGAGGGAGAGAGAGGATGGTATTTTTATCCTGACCACTCTGAGGTAAGAACCGTGGGAAAGGCATTATTGGAAAATTAGTCATCATTTCTGAGAACCAGAAAGAAAACCTTGGTGGCCATCAGACTTGGCGCAGTTCCTCAGTTAAGATACATTGTTGGCATCTTGTCCAGGTGAGAGCCAGCCGTAGACTGCGACTCCCACATTCTTCTCCAGTACCTGGAGAAGCCATCCTGCCTTCCTGACAAGTTCTGCAAGGCATTATTTTTGTAGATAGATTGAAAGGTAGAAATGTAAATGTGAGTATCTGTATATAAGTTATAAATATGCAAACAATCGTTTGTGGTTTTAAGATTTTGCTGCAAATAATGGTTGAGATTTGTGTGTAACTCTTTTTATAGAACCAACACCTTGCTTCGTGATAAGGTTGTGAAAGAACCTTGGAGGCGGTGCATTGTTTGTGTTAGAGCTACACAACAGGACCAGACTGCTGCTGGATAATTTTGTTCTCACCAACACTGGGCATAGCTTCCTTGATAGCATGTGTTTTCTTCTTAAATTTCATTGGCTTTTGGGAAGTACTCTTATTGCCTTTGGTTCTAGCTAGAAGCAAGTTTAAAAAGGCAACTAGCAAAAACAGAGAAAAATTGATTGATTTTATTAAAGGTTATTTTTTTGTGGAGGCAAAGGAGTTGAGCAGCTTTAGAAGATGCTCAGGATCAAACCTGGGCCTTCCACATGCAAAGCATGCCCACCAGGCTTTCCCTGCCCTCATTTAAGTAATTCTAAAGCCTCACATAGAGAAAATATCGGGTCTATTTACATCACTGGTGTTTTCTATCAAACATTTGAAGAGTTAGCACTAATCCTTCGCCAAATCTCCAAAAACAGAAGAGGTGCAAACACTTCCAAATTCATTTTATGAGGCCAATATTATTCTAATACAAACCAAAGTTATCATGAGAAAAAAACACAGATCAAAAAGTATTACAAATATAGACACAAAAATCATCAACAAAATACTTGCAGTGAAATCCAGCAACAGGAATGCAAGGTTAGTTTTTCCAAAAGTAGATACAATAGGCGAAAAATTCTTCTTGTTAACAGTGACTGTCTTCTGTCAAGTTACCAGGAATACAAACCACAGAGCCTTTGCTCCTTACACAGATAGGATGGTTTACAGCACACCTCAGAGATTATTACAGATTTAGTTCCAGAACACTATGATAAAGAAACCATCATGATAAACCAAGTAATACAAATGTCTTCATTTTTCAATACATATAACAGTTATACTATCAAATATTTTGGTTTTGGTTTTGTTGTTGAGCCACACCTGATAGTGCTCAGGGCTTACTCCTGACTCTGGGCTCAGGGGTCACTCCCAGCAGGGCTAAGGGGACTATATTGAATGCCAGGGATAGAACTGTTCTCACCAACACTGGGCATAACTTCCTTGATAGCATGTGTTTTCTTGTTAAATTTCATTGGCTTTTAGGAAGTATTCTTAACACCTATGGTTCTAGCTAGAAGCAAGTAGTTCAGTCACATGCAAGGTACACCTTCCCTGCTCTACTGTCACTTTGGCCTCGATCTATCAAGTGCAATAACATTCTATCTAAAAGACAGAATAGCACGTCTAAGGCACTTGCCTGGCATGTGGCTGAAGCTGGAATGCTGCTTTGAATCCTGGCAACACCTCGAACCTTCATACTGCCAGGGATGGTCCCTGAACACAGAGCCACGAGTAGCCCCAGAGCATGGCTGGGTATAGCCCAAAACCCAAGTCAAAACAAAGCAAAAAAAAAAAAAAAACAAATACAATGTCATATGGTAATAAAATATGACATCATCACAAAGTGAACACAAGCTAATGGGAAAATGACTCTGCTCTGCTTGGTCCATGGAGGGTTGCCACAGACCTTCAGTCTGCAAAGCATGCAATATCTACAAAGTGCAATAGAACAAGTATACCAGTATACATGTTTTAAATTATAATTTTTAATCATAAAAACAGTTTATCCTGGTATATTTTGTCTCATTTTCCAAAAGAAACTGAGGATCAGAATTATTAAATGACCATCATCAGGCATCCCACTAACCCAGCTGGCCTCAGAGACAAAGTTGGCTCCACTCTGCCCCACCCGTGCCTCTGCTTTATCGGAAGAGGAGCTGAAACAAGGAAGCAAATCATTGCCTTTTTCACCTTTACCTAAAATCCACAGATACGGGAGTTGACTCTCAGATCTTGAATAAAGAGACCCAGAGTACTCATGTGGAACAATAATCTAGCGAAATACAGCACCTTCTCATAAAAAAAAAAAATCAACAAGCTAGGCACAAAAGGTAATCTCCTAAAGTTGACAGAGGGCATTCCCAACAACCCCTCCTCTAACAGACTTCATGAATTTCCCCTAAGATCAAAATAAGAGAAGGGTGTTTGTCCACACAACTTCTCTGCAACATGGAACTTTCAGTGCTAGTCAGGGCAGTCAGGCAAGAAAGAGGAAAAAAAGGCAACCATATAGGAAAAGAAATGAAACCATAAATTCACAGATTATGCGGTCACTTCAGACAAAATCCCAAAGTACTCATTTCAAAACTAGTAAATGAATTCCTCAAGTTGTTATACGTGTGCAGGACAGAGGATCAGCACTGCAACAGAAATTCCGAAATTCAGTCTTTGAAAATTCAATTGACAGTAGCATCAAAACCAATAAAACTATGAGACCGAAGCATTGAAAGACAGTCAAAGCAAGTGCAAAAGCGTCACTGTTCACGGTTGGACGGTACATTCTCCCCAGTGTTCCACACAGTCTGCGATTCCTGGCAAAGTCTTCTGCTGGCTTTCTTTGCAGAAATATGACAAACCGATGACAAAATTCATACAGGGCATACCCATGATAGCTAAAAGTCTTGGAGAAGACTCAAATTGGAAAGATTTAGCCAATTTCCAAACATACTACAAAGAACGCAGTACTGGCATTAGGACAAAGATCAAGGACGTATAACTGAGAGGGGAGGCAAGATTCTTAGAATCAATTGATTTTTGGCAAGGCTGCTAATACCGTCAGTGGAGAAGGCAGTCTGCCACACATGGCCAAAGAATAGCCATGTGCTAACCTTAGGGCATCTACAGATTTTATTCAGATGGACAGCATGTATTCAAAAGGAAAAGTTAAAACTTGTACAAGAAAACAGTTGGTATCGCTGGGCTAAGCAGTGGTTCCTCTAGATGCAACACCAAAGAACGACGCCTTTGCCTGTGTGAAACCTGGGTTTAAACCCTGTACCACCTATCCCTAACCCCGTGGTGGCCCTGAGCATGGCCAGAAGTGACCCGTAGTACTGCTGAGTGTAGCCTCAAAAACATTAGAAAAAAATATTTTTTTAATATGCCAAAAACAGTAACAACCAGTCTCACAATGGAGATGTTACTGTTGCCCGCTCGAGCAAATTGATGAGCAAAGGGAGGACAGTACAGTGCTATTAAAAACCCAAGCACCAATAGGAAACTAGTAATTTTACTTCATTAGTGTTGACTTTTGTACTCTAAACCACACCATCAAGAAATGGAAAAGATGGGAGTTTTGTTTGATTGTGCTTTTTTGGTCACACCTGGCATTGCAAAAGCGTTACTCATGGCTCATGCACTCAGAAATTACTCCTGGCGGTGCTCAGGGGACCATATGGGATGCTGGAAATCGAACTCGGGTCGGCTGTGTGCAAGGCAAACGCCCTACCCGCTGTGCTATCACTCTAGCCCTGCTGGGAGGTTTTTAAAAGCCATCTCAAGAGCAACTAGTGTTCAGACTACAGAAAATTCTTACATGACTTAACAATAGAACACTGTTTCATCCAGCCTTAACCATACTCACAGTGTATGAACTTTCTGTGATGGTGGAATTACTCAGTATCTCCCTTCTCCAGCAAGGCAGCCACTAATTCATGGAAGACTGGAAGACTGGGTAGTTGAAATATAGCTCATATGAGGAATTGCATTCTCTCTCTCTCTCTCTCTCTCTCTCTCTCTCACAAACACACACACACACACACACGCATGCATGCTCTGTTTTGGGGGTCACAACTGGTGGTGCTTACTCCTAGCTCTGTGCTCAGGGATCATTGCTGGGGCTTCTTGGAGGACCATGAATGGTGTCTGGGATTGAACCCAGGCCGACCAGGTGCAAGGCAAGCGCCTTACCCACTGTACTATCACTCCAGCCCTGCATTTTCTCATTGTAGCTTATATTTAAACAGCTACATGCCACTAAGGAGCTCCACAGTCCCCCATGCTGCTGTGGAGAATGGGGGTAGAAGTAGGAAGAAGGGACTTTTGCCTCTCATGTTAAGCTCTTCTGTATAGTCACATTTCTTTTTAAGAAGGTATGTATTTATGGTTTTAAAAATTTCTAAGAATAACTTTAAAAGTAGGCCAGAGAAATAGTACGGGGCTAAGCTGCTGATTTTGCACACGGCCTGCCAGGTTTGAGCCACCGAAATGAGCCCTGAACACTGCCGTGTGTGGCCCCAAAACCAAAATAAAGTAATAATTTTTTAACCTGGTCCAGTTTTGTCTTTTCTCTGAGGCACACGTTTATTTTACTTGAAACACCAGTGGCTTGGTGCTGTCAACCCGGGACTTCCCCACCCGCGCGTTTAGGAAAGGCAACTCCATTTCAGCTACAGTGAGAGGAAGTGATTAGAAATACATCGCCGCTAATCTGTGATCCTCAGGATAAGAACTTTTCTAGAAATTTTTTTAAAAGCACGATAAAGGAGCAGTTGTCTGCTCCATGTTTTCCAGTCAGAGAAACATCAGACCTGAGTCTGGGATCATCTTGTCGTCAGGTGCCCGAGTGTCCCTGCCCTCTGCTTGCCTGTGAGACTTGCACAGGCAGTGTTTGATGCACTGTCTCCAGAAATCCTCTCCAGAAATCCTCAGTCACCTGAGGTCTCCGA